AGTGGCAAAACAGTCACTAAAGGATGAGAGGAGACGGAGGAGCCTCGCCCTCTTAGGTTCTTCCAACTGGCGATTGACGTTGAGGCGACTAGTCACGTCAGTATCGCAGCTGTTCTCAGTCGAGATCGTCGTAATCAAAGGGAAGGCGTCCAAATCATCAAATGCCTCCAAGTAAGCTATGGTTGTGCGTTTCGCAAAATGCCTATGTTCGCCACCGAAGTTCGTAACTAAAACCGCAGTCTGGCCATTTCGCAGTTGAACGAGACTTCGAGCAATGGCCACTTCCCGATCAAGCAATAACGTCAGGTTACTTTCGGCGATGCCCGTAATCGACTGCTCCCGTGGACACTCAACAAGCACGAAGATACTACTGCGAGGTGGCAACGTGACGCACTCAACTACGCGTAAGGCCACAACACGATGTTCGTTCTCGATGTCGGAATCTGGAGAAACACAGTTAACAAAACTGACGAACAAATCACGCAGAATAATTATCGCTCCATACTCTTGCAGAAAATCCATGCCCAAAATGACCAACAGAGAACAATTGGGTAGTACAAGGAATGATGCTACAAAAGCCGACGCACAAGTCTCAAGCCTGGCGGTGCACCTTCCTATAGGGGATACGAGGTGTCCTCCAGCGGTGATTAGTTGAGGGCCGTTTCACGTTGTCAGCACCTTGTGTAGGCGGGTGGCCAATGAAGCACTCATCACCGAGTAATCAGCTCCCGTGTCGACAAGCGCAGTCACCGGATAACAGTCGACGGAAACGCTAATGGCAGCGGGCGTTCTGTTGGTGGTTTCACAAACCGGCTTTAACGGCACGTCGTAAGGCAGCGGCGGATGGTATTTGTCGGTTCGCGTGACAGCGGCCTCACTTCCGGAGGTCGCCGTTTTCAGTTTCCCCGGCGTGGGCTTGCGCCACTGACACCAGGGGACCCAAAGGCGGGTCGGGCGCGGTGCATTGATGTGGACGGACGGGGTGATGGTGACCGTGACTGTCGTCGCGGTGGAACAGGAGCGTGATGACTACCTTCCAAGTAATCCGCAATTTCTTGTGGGCGCTCACCATAGCGTGGACAACGTGCATCTGGGTGGAATCCGCGTAGGCCTATTCGTCGGTAGTAACAGTAGCGGTACATGTGTCCAACTTCGCCACAATGGTAGCACAAAGGACCATTGTCGGGTGCACGCCAGATGATGGACTTCCGCGGGCCAGGACAAAAATCGGCCTGAGAAGGCAGGCGATGGGCTGGACTTGGAAAGCGTCTGGGGGTCCCAGTAGGTTGATGAGCAAAATGTGCCGTCGACGGCGTAGAGGCGCGTAGGGCATCCGCGTAGGAAAGCGTGGGAGGTTCGACTTGCGATGGTGGTGAGGAGTGAACGAACTGCCTGATTTCGTTACGAACGACGTCCGTAAGAGCAGCGCTACTGGGAGGGGACACTGCATGAAATTTCCGAAGTTCTTCGCGTACAACTTGCCGTATGAGTTCTGTGAGGACCTCCCCGTTATCACCCCCTGGTACAAGCGAGCACGCAGCGGACATGGCCGTCTGACGCTCATACTGCGACACCCGCTGCCGAAGCATGCGCTCCATAATTGTGGCCTCACGTATGAACTCGGACACAGTCGTAGGAGGGTTGCGCACAAGGCCCGCGAAAAGTTGCTCCTTTACGCCTCGCATTAGCAGGCGCACTTTCTTGTCTTCTGGCATGTGGGGGTCAGCCCGTCGAAACAATCGCGACATTTCTTCGACAAACATGGCGACGCTCTCGTTCGGCATTTGAAATCGCGAAGAAAGTGCCTGCTCCGCTCTCTCTTTCCGTTCGGGGTTACTGAACGCCTCGCGAAGCTGCCGATGGAATTCCTGCCAACTTGTGACTGAAGTTTCGTGGTTCTCATACCACACTCTTGCCGCGTCTAAGAGGGATATATACACGTTCTTCAACTTACGGCGATTGTCCCAGTCGTTGATGGCAGCGACCCGGTCGAAATGGCCAAGCCAGTCTTCGACATCCTCACCGGCATCACCGTGGAATGGGTTGGGTGTGCGAGGCGTGTTGATGACACAGGGTACGCTAGCGAGTGGGTCATGCTCGGTTTGGGTTGCGGATGTGGCAAACATTGTCCTCACGGAACTTGCCAAGGGGCCGTACTGTGGTGGTAGTCCTTGAAGGCGGCGGCTGCTTCGATAGATATCAGCAGACCCTGGTGCACTGGTGGTGGTTGCTTCTGGTTCAGGACCAGCAGGCATAAGACGTTGCAGTGCAGTACCCAGCACGTCCACCAGTCTGTCGCGAGAGGAAACGATAGGCAGGAACTCGAAGTGGAGGACTGTTTACTTGCTTGCTTGCTTGTTCCTTTCTTTTGTGGCTCTCACCCACTAATGGGGATTGGCCAAGAAGCCGGTGGTTAATGCAAGTCAATACCTTTGGGTTTTCTAGACTAGGGGAATATGATTACTGTGTTTTGACTGTGAAATTAATTTGGCGCAATGTAAAGAAAGGAAAAAAGGGGGGAGAGAAATAATAAAATTTGCTGAATATCTGAGGTGGAATCGTTATATGAAATTCTCCTGATAGTTGAATCATTGCAGTGTATCAGCTAAATAATAAGTGGTAGTGTGCCTAGTAAAATTCGAGAGCTGATCGCTGACTCAGCAAGGTAATCTTCTAATTCGCAGAGAGCCCCGCAGATGTTCCTGTCGCTGTGTCCCAATGAAGTGGCCCCAAAAGACAAAATATTGGGAGTATTAAGTGATATTCCTAGTTTCCTGAATAAAATTTCGAAGCAGTTTTTTCTTTGATTTTTGAAACGGTGACATGTGATAAGAAAATGGTCGATATGTTCAGGTTCGTTACAGCTTGAGCACAGAGGAGATGGCACCAGACCAGACCTGTTTAAGTAGAAATTAAGAGGTGGTACATGGCAACGTAATTTTGTTATCAAGACTTCCAATTTACGCGTGGGACACCATTTATTATTCCACGTGAAGTGCAGGTGCGAGAAATTTGGATTTGGTATCATGATTTTTGATGAGTCTTCAAGAAAGGAAAGTTTTCTGAACGTCGCTGCTGTTACATAAGCTGTAGGAGGCATGATTAAACACAATCGGAAGATCAAGAGATGTTCGCGCAAGTGTGTCAGCCATCTCGTTTATAAATATAAAGCCTGGCACCCATATCATTCGCACTAGACGAATGTTTGCTGGGATTAATGATTTAAAAGTTTCTAGTACTGCTGATGTCGACGACGATGATAAAAATGAACACAGGGAATACGAGTCAGACACTATCACAGCTGTCGAATGAGTCGCAGGAAGTTTACGAATAGCTAGTATAAAGGCAATTAATTCCGCTTGAAATATTGGTGTATAATCTGGGAGTCGTAATGAAAATGACCAGAATAATGCGAGAGAAAAAATACTCACACCTGCCTTCTCGCCACTCATAGATGCATCCGTTGCAATTACTATATTAGTACCTAATAGAGACAGGTGTTGTTATAATAAACCAATCAAATATTTAGAGGGCAAGTGTTTAGCGTTCATGGGGAAGATATCGTGAAATTTTATTTGCACTTGGCCGATTGGTTGGACAGATGGTGTGATCTCGAATATATTAACATTTAAAGCATCTAGAAGTGTTTGAACAAATAGCACTTGGGGTTTATATACACGGGACCAATGCTCATTGAAAAAGACACCAGGCTCGGCAAAGAATACAAACTGTCGCCTTCTTAAAGTGGATTCAGAAAATTTTAAATAGGTTTTTACTGTTAAAATACGAAATCTGCAAGCAAGGGTGGGTATCCGAGCTTCTTGATACAAAACATTGTTAGCTGTGAATTTTGGCACACCTGAACAACTACGTAGAGCTTTCCGCTCTAAGAGAATCAGGGGGTTTATTTTGTAGACTGTTTACTCAGCCACAGCTGCCATTCACTTCTTCGCTCTCGTCTTCTGCCACCAACACAGCGTGGCAATATATTATTAATTAACTTATAAGTGAGCCATCTTGATTGTGTGGGGTTCATGAAGACATGTGATTTACGGATGAAGGCATAGCTTTCCAAACACATCATGTGGTTCGAGAAGCTTTCCCAAATTTCCCAAAACCCCTCTCAAGCATCGCACGAGATAGCGCGCCATTTTTGTTGTTCAAAAATTTGACAGCTTCGTGCGAGCGCTTCTTGCGCCACCTACACACGGAATGACGAACGATTGCAAGTCTGACCATGACCTACTACACTCCTGACCTGTTCAGATAGCGGGGTTCCTATGGGAGCGCGTGTCCCCGCTCTCGTTCAATCGCTCGCCGTAGGTGGCGCTACCTATAACCTGTTCGTCTGCTACTGTGCGGCCGGCAGGAGGGCGACGGACTGATACCATGCGTCTGCTTCTGTGACAAACTGCCTATACGTGTGATTGTTTTTTGCTGAAAAGGCTAACGTGTGCTATGTGTTACATTTTAGTAGTTAGGCTATACTGGTTGATTGACTTCTAAAGCTGTATATTTGCGTAGAAATGTCTTGCTGCATGGTTGTTTTTGCCATTCCAGCCTAAAAAAACTTCAATTTAGTATTCATAAAGCTTTTGACTAATAATGTACTCATTGGTAATAGAATATCAAACTGATTTTAGGTTGTTTAGGACGCGTTGTTCCCGTCTGCTTGCCACTGTGACCCTTTGTGTGCTTTTTTTACGGTTCTATTTCTGCTTCAAACGTCCACACGAATGCAGCCAACTCTGACGAGGAATCATATCGCTTTATTTGCCATATTTTACACATTCATACACAATTCATGCACAATAAGAACGATTTGCACTGCCACAGCGATGGCTGAAGCAGACGACAGCGAACAGGTGCTGCCTAGCGCCACGCCGCTCGTAGGTGACGGCCCTAGCGGCAGAAGGTATGAACTAGAACGTGGGCGCTGGAAGAGGTGCTCTCTGGGCAGGTCAGGAGTGTAGTAGGTCATGAGTCTGACATGCGTCTGCTCGCGATTGTGTGCCATCGCGTGCTGCGGTTCTCTTCCAGTGCGGCAATGGAACCCTTTTTTTACGGCATTCCGACCGCCCTGTGAACAATAGTGGCTCCTCAATGGCTGAAAGGAGCTTGGTGCTTTTCTTAGGTCTCATATTTGGGATGATCCGGTTATTTGTTGACGCGGTGTGAGTGCCGTCGGCAGAGTGCCGCAGTCTAGGCCTAGAGCTAGCGCCGATCACAAGGTGATGTGCGGTCTTGTGGCGCTATCGGTGCCGACTTATCGCTTCTTCTGGCGCACCAGGATCTGGTGCATTGTTTGAAGTGCGATCAGACTTTGGGCGATCCGGCTGGCCACGAATTGGAGGCCGCTGCTTCGCCACTGAACGAAACTGGTGTTCGCGGGGGCGTGCCGGGGCTTCTGATTGCGTGAAGGCTGCTTCGACAAAAAAACGTAGTTCAACAGCTATGAACCTTCACCAAGTGCTCACCGGAGCAGTCAATGCTGGAGACCACTGCTACTCTGTCGGCAGCGTCGAAGGCGTTCCCTTCACAGTAAGCAACGTCTCTAACACGCACTTGGCAACTGAATGATGCCGAGATAAAAACGTTCAGTGGTAGTTTTATAACCGTGACTGGTGTGAAAGCTCTTCATAGATCTGCTCGGCCCTTATGTGGCTTTCTGGTCAGCATTTGTGTGTCTAATTATTTCTAAATTTTACATTTCCGATCAGACAGTGTTATTAACAATAATCTTGCCAAACCAGTCGCTAGCTTCGCTTTACGACTATTGCGGTACCTTTGCGAAACTTGCATGCATAAACCGACGTTTTATTCTCGTTTTAAGGTCTACGGCGCAGGATGTAATATTGTGATATTAGCACGGAACTTCGAGAGAGTGCAGATCATACCTGGTGTCTGTCATGGGAACGTGCAAGTTTCCTGCATAGACTGCTCAACTGATATTGGGAAGGTACGTCTATAGCGTCAAGTTTAGTTCGCGTGTAGTTCTTTTCACGTGTGCAGTGTGATTTCCAGGCATATTTTCCGATGATCGATCTTTGTTGTCTGCTATGCTCTCTGCTAGTTTATTGCCTCAGCTTGCTCAGCCGTATATTATCTGTTCATGAATAAACATGCTTAAGAACCTTCTGATGTAAGCAAGTGTGTCGGTATTCATTACATGTAATAATATTTTGCCTAAGCTCTCATATTCAGATGCCTGAGCTTTCACATTGTATCAGTAGGTTGAAACGGTTTAGGGCCGTCCATAGTGTATTTAGATTCAACAAGGGTTGTGTATTTCCATTTAAAACATACCTAAGTTGAATGAATAAAGTTGCTCATAGCAGTGGCCGCTTGTGTCATTTTACATCCGCCCCTACGCGGTAACCTGCAAAGGCTTAATCTTGACATTTAATTTCACCACATTAGGCATGTGAGGGATAATATTTGAAAAAAAAAAAACAGTGCAAGGACGGGACCTTTAGGAAATAAACTCGACAAAACAAAGTTGCGATTGCTTCATCATGCGTGGTTCTTGGCCTGTGTATCTATGCCTCATTCTGTGTACCTAATAATTCTTAGTTACACTGCCCACTTAAGCGCAATCTTGGGAATTTCAGAAGCCAGCTGATTAACTTGTCAATGTAAGTTGGTAAGCAATGGGAAAAAAATATGTCGACATAAGCACTGCACTTACAAATTTTGTTTTATTTAAGTAAAGTCATATTTGTAGATAACACATAAACTAATCATTCATATGCAATAGAATCTCATGTGTTTTTCTTGAGAACCGATAAATAATATGTGTTATACAAAAATTGTCTTAGCCAAACAGGTTTGAAGTAAAGGTGGGAAATAATGATACTCTATCAGCAACTCACTTTTATTGAGCAACATTGAAGTAGCTGGCCAGTTTGGGCTGCACTTTCATCTTTTGATTGTTGGATGCAGCGGCCGCACCATCAACAATCTCTTCACCACAAAACCAATGCTGCTGCGCAGATGCAGCTTTGCGACGTGCAGGTCGTGGCTTGTTGGAGCACAGTTTGAGCTAGTATACTGAAGAACTAAATATTGGATCTATGTGTATTTATCATTCAAGGTCCAATTAAGTGGTAATATTTTCCAATTATGGGCAAAAATGTATCCGTATTAAATGCATGAAATGCATATTCTCTAGAGACATTGGCCAGATATGAAAATGAAAAATCGTAAGCTGAAAAGCATATTATGCAAAGTCATATCAATGAGATTACGCTTATTAGTTGTAGCACTTTGCATAAAAGTAGCCACCTTTGAAAACATTTTGAATAGTTAGACTGTATATGGAATCAAAAGCTCTGGTTGTGTATTTTCTGCTGTCTCATTCTTATATAAATGCTTTCCTAACATGCCTGCTTTCTAGATTGCAGCTGCATATGGAAAGCAAGTAGCTATATTTGAACCGTCACCACTTCTTCAACAAACATCATCTCATGTAAGGGATTTTCCAGTTTGTTCCTATGCCTAATTCATGCTGCATATTGCCACTTTGACTTCGACCATACTTTGTCTTGTCCCTAGAAATTGGACTACAAATGGATTCAAACGGCCATGATACAAATGGACTACTCTGTATCTGTGCTTTCTTGGAATTTAGAAGGTAAGAAACAGCTGTGAACTTTGCCAATGTTTAACAAGAAAACATGTCAAGTTTTGGAAAATAGCCTGTATCTGTACTTGCTTTCCATCTAGTTTCCTCTAATTAATTTTTTATCAAGTCATTGTAATCAGAAAAAGTCAAGGTGACTGCATCTGAAAAGCATGCTCATCACGAACTGGGAGTTTTCTAATATTTATCTGCTTCACCTTTGGCAGTGTTTGTGTATTCCAAACTGATTGGTTATCATTGAAGGCGAAACATCTGTGTAATAATTTTAAAAAATTCAGCAGATCCCACGTACCGTGGCAATGACAAAGCATGAATTGAAAAATTTTCTATGTGGAACATCTAAAATGAGCATATTGTTACACGGCGGATGGATAAAAATATGTAAAAATTTTATATGCATTCACTTATCGAGAAAGCATGCAGATGTGTGAACTGGTTGTCCATTGTTGTGTAACGATGCAATCACTAACGTGCGCACTACCAACACCTACAGTGGCAACCTGAGATGTTCATGTATTAGTTTGTGATGTTGGTTATGCAAAGCGTAATGCTTAGGCATGTGCTGACTTTTTTTTTGCTTTAAGGCAAGTTTCATGAGGTGGATAAACATTAACTGCAGTAGTTGTGTGTACATTGTGGATTCACCAGGAACGTCTGCTGCTCTTTGGTCTACTGTTAACTAGACTAGGCAACTTCTGGTCTGACATAATGTCAGCACTCACATTAGAGCACTGGCATCAGTATTTTTAAAATGAAATGTGCTTTACGGTGAAGCGATGTGAATATTACACATAATTTTAAGGGGAGATGCGGGTCGAAAAACTCGACTTTTTTTCAAAATTACCGATTTTTTATTTTCGCCTGTTTTGATAATATTAGTACCTCTACTGTTATGAAAAAAATATTACAGGTCGAGACTTAACTGGAAATGCTTTAAAACTTCATCTAAAGAGCACAAGGTGCCTGTTAAAAGGTCGAAAGTGTGCAGTCTTCGAGCACCTTGCCGCCGATAATGCGCCGCCGCTAGCCATTGTTGATCGCATGAGTCGAAGAGTCGAGCCTCACTCTTCACATAACAACAGTTTCTCTCGCTGATGCAGCGCAAGAAATAATAAAAAGAATCACTGTTCTGTGCGTTTTTCGAGTGCCGCGACTGGCTTATCACATGGTACGAATCGGGGATCGCCATTGGCCGCTGCGCGCCTGTATGTGCTGTGAAACCTATTTGCAGGGTCCATCTCATGTCGAGCAGCGCAACTGAACAATGCTTTTCTCATATAATTATCTCCGTTATGAATGAAAAAAGGCATTGCTCGCAAGTGAAAGCCGTTGTGCGGCGAGCTCTGTAGGAATAGGTTACGAGCCTCTGGTCCAAGTTGCGGCAGTTGTTGGCTTGCAAAAGCCAATGCATCAAAGTCGTTCACACCCGTCAGCCGGAAAGTTCATGATACGGCAATGGATGACACCAGCGCCAATCTTGAGAGTTCGAAAGAGCTCACAGTGAGAGAACTTAGCAGGGACGACATTGCCATTATGTACGACGGTATGTGGCCCAAACATGGGTGCAAAATGGCATGACACTGAAATTAGTTTGGATTTCGCAGTCCTGTCGAACTTCTTCCTAGCTTGCAGTTGGCACAAGGCTCTGCGAGATGGAGCGGAAGTTTGGCAAGCGTTTCATGGTCCTGTCTGTGAGTGAAATGTCTGTGAGGAGTCGGCTCGAAAACGCCGAGAGGGACAAACTCACGGTGCTGGCGTATTTTAGTCGCAGTGGCCACTACAAGAAGGATTGTTATTTTTGGTGTGCAAATTTCATCTGATTTAATAATATCTTTCATAAATAAAAACTCAATTTTAACTTTAAAACTCGTTTTTCTCAAAACACAAGTTTTGCCATTTTTTCCAATGTGCCCCTCCTTTTTCGGGCGCTTCTAGTACTGGGATCTGCATGAAATTTTGCCCAAATTTTTTCCAAAGTATGATGAATGCAATTATCTGGTTTAAATTGCAATATTTTATTGTATAATAAAAAAATTGTATGTATACCTTTACTAGGGTAGGTGAAATATGGACTTTTTACGTCTATTATTTTTCACACGTATTACATATTTTGTATGTGCTTTCTAATTAGTTATTTGCACTCTACACTTTATTTGAAGCATTATAATTATGAATGGCAAAAAATTACAGAATTTTAGGGATGAAAGAGGGGGGGCAAAAGGGTTAAGGTTTTCACTTTGTCATGTTACAGAGCTAAAAGTGTGTAACTTGCAAGAAAACTAATTATATATTTGAAATCAGCATAAAAAGTTCCACAAACAGCTCAAGTTTCATTGCTCTAGGGTGAATATTAAAGAAAAAGTGTCTTCGAGTAGCATCTCCCCTTAATTAGCATATTCCCCCGGGGTCAAGCAATGCTTAAATATAGCTTGCTGAATATGAATGTAACGTTTATTAGACAGCTGTAAAAGTAGAGTTAAGATTGGAACCACAATTTACACTAGACTAACATGATGTCTGTGTCATTGTATTATATGTGTAACTTTCATATTTTGTTGTAAAGTTAGATAGCTAGTACTGCAACCATAATTGAAGCTTGTGGGGTCTTGAAATGACTAGCGCCACGCGCTTTGAGTGAATGGACACAGCAGGCGCAATCGAAACAAAACACACAACAACCATTTATTGAACTGCTTTTTTATCTACGACATCATCAGCTGAATTATTATACACAGCAATTGAAATCAACACGCTAAAACAACCTTAGACAATATTACACAATACTATAAAACATGACAAACACAATAACACATCCAAGGCTTGACTCGCCACGTGGGCTCACTGCAGATCGCCCACGGTGCGGTCCACGGCAGACCCACCACTGGAGGCAACCGCCACCCGCATAAGAGACTGCCTTCTTTCTTCTGCGCTGCCAACCAAGCTTGCTGCCAGGTGTCATCGCCAGCACTGCTGATCTAACAACCATGATGGTGATAGTGGCGGTGATAACAAACGCCCGCGAGCACAACGCCACCTACTGCTCAGTAGTTGTGAACCTAAAATACAGCTTATACGCGAAATGCCTGCGTCACGCAGCGCAAACAACTTTACAAGGGTGTCAGCACCCCCACATTCTTCCAACCTTGATTCAAATTATATCCCGAAAAGAAAAGAAATCCGCCACACAAGCTCTAACAAAACATGACAACCCATGTCCCTACATAATGTCCGTACACCACGACACCGCCGCCAGTCGATACTGCTGCACTGTCTGGCTCAACGATTTCACCTCAGTACCGGTCCCGCAAGAGCATTGTTGTTGTCGGCGCGACGAACTGTCACTCGCGCCGACACGTCTTCGGGTTGCGACCAGCGCTCGCGAAGGCACCGGACTGCAGGCAGTTGCGAAGCTCCAGGCATGTCCATCGCCCCATCTCACGACCACATTCCTGGCCAGCGGTGCTGACAATGTGCAGAAGACAGCCAGCCGTGGCTTACATCGCTCCTACTGCGTACATTCAAAACACTCGAAACAACAATTCAGTAGGCCAAAGGGAAGGGAGCTTCGGGCTCCTCGCCCACGTGGCACGATGGTCAGTTCTGCTAGCTAATACATCGGCGACGGCCGAGATGCTCATCAAAATAAAACAAAAATCACTTTTCCTAACTCATGCATCGCAAGATAAAAAAAAAAAAGTTAGGGAAGCATAGTGCAACACCTCAACGTCACAATCCACCTATTTGTGCCACGTGCGACAGGCGGCTGCGCAGAGCCTTAGGCCTAATGAGTCGCTTGACAAAAACAGGCATCCACCTAGCACCCAGCCTAGGCGCAGAAGAGGCAGCCGTAAGGAGACGTCCACTCCGTAATGTGGCCCTATCGCTCGCCGCACACACCAGCTTACCAAGCGATCGGCATCCACCGTCTCGGACGGTGTCACGACGCCCCGGTATGTGGGTGTGTGTCATACCTGTCTTGAGAAAGTATTTGACGACTTACACAACATAATTTTTGCATTATTCATGTCACCTGACAGTCATATTCCTCAAACTCTCCCACCATCCCATGCCAATTTTGGCCTACAACTAATTAAAGAGATGGTCACGAGAGCACCTAGACATAGGTGGCTAAATATATGGATCGATAGATGCATAGGTAGAACTCTTCCTGCGTTTGCTAAGAAATGGTTCGACCATGAAAAAATGATGGAATACTTCTTGATTTGTACAATGGTCTGAGCCATGTCTCTCATCTTAATCTCACCACAACTCAAAAGAAAGATATTACCATAGCTGACGCGATGCAGGAGTTTCTTTCGAACGATCTTATTTATTTGTTATTCACAGCTCACAACTGTTCTGGTAAGGTAGGCAAAGTGCCGTCCTTAGCACCTGGCGTAGTACTTGGCAGTTCTCACACCGCTAAGCTCCAGGTATGAGTTTGAGCCTGGTCACAGCGGTGCCACTTTGATGGTGGAAACATGCAAATGGGCCACTGCATTAACCAGAGAATATATATAGACAGGCCACTGCAATAACCAGTGATTATTAGAACAAAAGAGATTGCTAGCCAGAGCCTCTCGTTCTAACTTTTCTTTATAATATTGCTGCATGTGGAAATTCGATGAATGTGCAGTTGTGTATTATGGCATAGGAATGAAGAAATGCATTTAATGACTGGGGCATGGCATGTCAATAATAGTGGTAGTGTATGTGCCTGCCAATCATCGATTAACTTGCATAAAGATGAAGTCAAATGCCTTAAAAGTCATCTTTTACATAGACCACCACGTGTGTGTGCCAGATTGATAAGATTTCATGTTGTGGGGACATGCACTAATAATTTTTCGTAGTATCTTCTTTCTTTTCCACCATTGTGTGCATCTTCAGTTGTTGATTAAACATTTATAGTGTCCCGATTTTCTTCTTGTGTCCGTGTTTGCATGCCCTGTTTTCTTTTTCTCTTTTTTGGAATGAGTAGGTGCAAACTACCTCGGCTATCTGTTATTGGAAGGCACTCATTTGCGTGCAATTAGGATTAACTGGGCTGAAGAGGTCTATGTGGTTGAAATGAATGAATTATGGCATGCTGCACAATTGTATCATAGTTTAGATCGTGTCAAGCCGCTGCTGAGATGCAAAGAGAAGCATTGTTGCACGAACCTTATTGAGGTGTACGTCAGGTAAAAGATAGAAAGGTATAGTTTGTGTGGTAACTGTTGCAGTTACATATTTGAAAAATTAACTTGTGAATCTCTTTCATTTGCATGAAAGAAAACAAGCCACTTGGTTTAAAAAGGCCACACCCACCTAAACATCTAACCCCACATGGAGGTATTCACTGAGGCTGCATGTTGAACAATAAAGCAACGTGCTACATGTTAAACTTATAGATTTATCCGCACATTATATTTGTTGCCTTAAAACGAGCTTTTTCCCTCTCATATTGCTCTTTTTTGTACTTAGTGGAGGCTATTAAAGCCTGTTCTTTTGTTCTGCCTTTTGTTTAATTTCATTTTGCTTTATGGGGCTTTACACTGGATCTGGAAGGTCGTACAGGATGGAGCTGCAGTTTTTCTGACTTCATTGCAGGCACACGTCTACTGACTGGTGGCGAGTGGATACAGATGTGGAAATGCACCTTGAGACCAGAAAACAATGCCATGCCCGGGGAAGAGACTGCCAAGGCAGGCCAGCCACAACCGCGCAGCCATGTCTCTTTCCAAGTTGGAAGCGACGAGGTGGCTCCCACGCTTCCCGACGAGGACACTTCGTGGGACTGCATTTGGCACTGCAGGTCTCTGTCTTCCCTAGTTTTCATCTGTAGAAGATACTTTAAAAAATAGCATAGGCAAACACCTGCACAAATTCAGAGCCTTCATGCTCTGCTTACATTTTTGTGTATTCCCCTTGCGTTTTTTTTTAACCGTGATGGCTGGAGCAAAGTCATTGAAGTGCACACATGTGGAAATGCATATTTGACATTTGTTGGCTGTTACTGCATCTAGAGTTGTGCCTGCTATGATTTTTTTTTGGTCCCTTGGCCTTTGTGCACACCATAGTGTGGCACATATGTGTCTAACTCACCTTACGACGTGCAGTGTCTTCATCAATTATGTTTGCTTCTATGTTTTTTAGGACATCTCAGCCAGTCAGCTTCCTTCGTTTCTCACCAGACGGTACACTGTTTGCATCTGCGGGAAAATGTGACCGTTTAGTAAAAATTTGGCACAACAGTCAGCATAAAGGTGAGTCTATGTTTTGAAAGAGCCTAAAGCGCTGTGAGTTTCAGTAGCAACGGGAAGCTTTTCATTAAGATGATAGAGCCTGTAGTAGCCTTTAGTGTAGTTGTGCGAGGCAGTAAAATTTTGTTGCCTACTACTCGTCTTGGAAACGCTATTGCAATTGCTTTTGTGATATTTATCAACCACCACTGATGTATGTTGCATTGAATAGCATTTGCATCTTATGAGTGCACATTAGTTTTCAATTCAAAGTGCCCACTGCCCACTGTGGCGCTTTCGTCCAGCACTTGTTTTAGCTTTGATGCCTAACTGTCTTTGTTCGTGTTCACAGTGTCTGACCCTGGTGGGAATACTAGGATGTCTGTGCAGCAAGTGGATCGCGGCTGCACCTTTGGCTTTGTATATGCGGCCCATCCCCGAGCCGTGACAGGACTATCGTGGCGCAAGACCAGCAAGTTTATGCCCCGGTAAGTTGGGTTTTTTTCTGTCTTGAAGGTAAGATCCATTATTTTGTGCAGATTACATGTTGTGATAGTGAAAGAATAGTTTTAACTTATTTTGACCTGATGCTTTTTTTTGGTTTACCTTGAAAAGATGCCCAAAGTAGTTATAACATGTGGAAGCACCTCTTGGAGGGAAATATATGCCACCTGAAATAGACCTACTTGGACACATATTTTCATTTACCTAAAGTTTCTTATAATGTGTCTTACAGGGGTGTTATGGAAGCTGATGCAATGAGTGCTTTGGTTAGTTTAATGGCCGCACCTGATACAATTCTTCAGATACACAGCCGCTGTAAACACAACAAATGCCAAGCTGTCAAATCTTATGTGTTATAATCTTTCATTGTGGATCGCCAAGTAGCGAGCCTTGTTGTTGCGGTACATTTTCAATTTTTTCCCCTCCGGTGTTGATTGTATTATTCTATGAGATAAACAGTAGCAAGAAATCTTCAGTATAGCTCCTAATGCAGTTAAATTACACTACATTTCACAATTTATTTTTCCCTCTTCTTCTGTTCTTCAGAGGTTCAGTTGCAAACATGCTGGTCACGTCATGTCGAGACAACATCTGCCGGCTCTGGGTTCAGACCTTGCTTCCCGAGGATGGGTTGATCAATGTGCAGCAGATCGAAGCACTTGCCAATCAGACACCACGACTGCAGACTCAGCGCCACCGGCAACGCATTCTCCAAAAGCTGCGGCACATGAAGTAAGTGGCATTACAGGCCGCTTACTGAAAGTAGCTACTTTCATTGTTTTTATCGTCTCCCGGCGATCTCTTGCTACTTTCTTTGCTGATCTAACCGAACTCACAGTATTTTTAATGTTGCCACTGTGCCCAATTTCGTGCATTTCTTTCTATGCATTTTTTTTCTTTATGCTACTCATTCTAATAATTTATCAAGCACTGGTAATCTCTTGTCGTCATGTGAGCCACAAATCATACTTCTTGGGAGTTGTTGTAACTCATACATGCATGCAAGTAATAATGCCTGATGGTGTGAGAACAATATTAAGGGCTCAATGCTTTCAATCTAATGCTCTCCATCAATCTGTTAACTGAAATGAGTGTACAGTAGACTCTCAGTAGACGGAACCTGAAGGGACCGGAAAATGTGTTTCATTTAACAGGAGTGCCATTTACTGAGAGGTGAACATGGGTGCAGAATGAAAACCCAAAACCAAGCATTGCAGAGGCAGTAGTCCCAAAGTAGTTTCGTTTAACAGATTTCTGTTTATTGAGAGCCTACTGTGGTTATTAATTTTTAAACATGTTGCATTGCTTTATTTTCAAGTTCTTATGAGGTGTCACTTGTTCTTATGAGGTGTCTTTCAAGCCAGCATTCGAGATTGTAGCTTCTCATAATATAGGAAAATCTACAACGACTTGTTTGTTACGTGACACCACTAGGAAAAGCATACTGATTTCTCACCAAGAAAGTTTTTAGGTGCTGAAAAATTATCCTGGTCTAGACATCAAGCCCAGGGCCAATGCCTTTCTGGTGTGGTTGGTCTACCAATCAAGATAACCAGAAATCTAGCAATCGGCAGCACAACGGCAAACTCATCAACTCGAAGGGCATGGACGTAGAATATTGAAAATCGGTTCTTTGGAGTATTTCAGTATTCTGTGTCCATGTGCTTCTAGTTGTGGATGAATTCAACGTCATACTGCCAATTGCTAGTTTTCTGGTTAGCTCAGTTGGTAGAGCAAGCACCCTTGAAAGGTATTGGTTTCGGGCTTGATGCCCAGACCATGACAATTTACGGGCAACTAAAAAGCTTCCTTTTAGAATAATCCGTACACTTTTCCTTGTGGCATCATGCTGCAAACGGGTCATTGTCAATTTTCCTATGGTAAACCTTCCATCACCTTGTGGAAGTCTGCAGAACTGACTTTTCAGGTTGTCTTTTAATTCTTTTTTTTTCCACTCTTTTTATGCTTTTTTCATGCACTTCTTACACTGCATTTTCTCACTTATAACTCACTCCTGCATACAACTCGCACCCTCAACTTTAACTCTACCAGTGAAAAAAAAAATAATGTTTAAATCTGCATTTATAGCTACGTTTAATCCGCACCTCCGCTTTCTAGGCACACTTTTTTTTTGTTTTTTTGGGGGGGGAAGCATTACATGCGAGAAAATAGCGTATTTGCTGGGAATAATACTGCATTCACTTATCTGCTTGCAACCAGAGTTCTTCAATTATATGAGTTGCAAAACTGCCTATACGCACTATGTATAAAAATCTGAATTCGCCCGCAGCCGAAGTCATGGGGATCTGCTGATTGTTGCATCATCTGTTGAACTAACAGACGCTTCTGACCATTCCAACGTTGCATGCAGTGCGGAGCAGCAGCTTGCAAGGAGCGCACGCAATAGCGGCCCTGTGGCAATGAAGCCAATAGACTGGGAAGCTATAGAGAAAGATGAAATAAAATTAATTGTTACAAATAATAAAATGTGAGATATAGCTTTAAAAGAAAAGGTAAATGAAGGTAAACTAAAAGGATAGTTGCTGAGGCAGGTTTCACTTCATCTGTACTACGCTTATGCTTTTTTGTAACTCTCCTCACAACAATGCTCCACATGCATTTATTTTTGAGCTAAAAGAACTAGAGCACTGCATGAGCCCGGGCCAGGCCGTCTGAAGTGTTTTCCGACTGGCCCTGGCAGGGCTTGAGCATGAAAGTGCAGACCTGGGTCGGGCCCGGGCTTGAAGCTGCGGGCTGGGCCGGACTCTGGTCGTTCATTACAAGGCCAAAGTCAGGCCTTCGAGCACACGAGAACATTATGCATTGTATGGTCTGAAGCATTGTGCCAAGTTGAAATGATACGTGTGAATAGCTGGCTTTAAGTAAAGCTTAGCAAAAAGAGAATATAAAAACAGTTGTTTTATTTTTTTTTCCACAAAAACGAACGTGGCTTTAACATGAGTAAAAGTAAATTATAACTAAAAACTGCTCTGCAAGCAATTTTTCATTTACCATTTGGCAATAACACTAGGTACTATTACATTATTATAATGCTAATGCTATACTCTACTGGTGCATTAATTGTATGCTAAATGCTCATGAATTCACACAAACTTACACACACACATGCACATGCACACATTCGTATGCTAGATGACCTGATGAGACAAAATCGTACAGTCAAGGTAAATACATGGGCACTAGCGTAAAAATAGCAGCACTAACAACAGGCAAGATCATGGTTGTTCCCATGGAAGAAAAAAGAGTTCGGTCTTGAGAAACTACTTTAATCATGTAAAAGAAATACCGCCTATTTTAATTTCTTGCAAAAATAGCGCCTTGTATCCCATCCACGAGCGCCAATGGCGAACACAATTTTAGTGCAGCTGGGTATGTGCTCCAAGACGGGAGGACCTGCTTGAAGCCGGAGAGCCAGGACGACTTGCTGTTTTGGCACAAGAACATGTAGATTTTTGCCTTTTGCTTGCCTTGACACACTCCTATTCTTGTGGCATCGTTTTCAGGTGTTATTTTTTATGTCACTGGGTGTTATTTTAAGCATGCTATTTTCTATCTTTATTTCACAAAGAATGGTGAAACCCGTTTTTTTTTTCTTGGAATAGCTTCAAGTAAGGTGTGTAGCACATTGATTATATTGTACATGGCGATTACGTTTCCGTGACAATAGAATATCAACAATTTATATTTCATCTGCTTTTGGGGGCTGTTCACCATATATAATGTTGAAGTTTTTTTTTATTTTGCTGCAACAAATTATTATTCAGGAGCCTCTATTTAAAAATTTGTTTAATTAATGTTTCCAACGCGAGTGTAGAAAAGAACATTAAAGAAAATCTTGGTTTGCTTCTATCCACTTTTTCATGTTAGTTGTACACTTCTAAATAAATTTTGTTGCTGTGCTTTATTTTCACTATACTGTTATTTTAATGACTTGCTTTGTGTCATATAGGCAACATTTCATTTATATTCTTTAGCATTACGTGCCAAAACCACAATATGATTACAAGGCCTGCTGTAGTGGGGACCGGATAAATTTCGACCTCTTGGAGTTCTTTAACGTTCTTTAAGTTCTTTTGCACCTAAAGATTAGTACACGGATGTTCCTGCATTTTGCCCCCATCAAAATGTGGCTGCTGTGGCCACAGGAATCGCACCTGTGTCCTATGACTCATCAGCAAAACTGCTTGATTTCTGAGCTATTATCGCGGGCAGGGTAACATGTCTATGCGCGTACACACCAAATTATCTGTCCTATTGCCCGCTACAAAGTGTATGGCATCATTAACAATCATCATCAACAACGATATCTGCTAGCGGACCCGGGCCGGGACTGGTCACAAACAGGCGCGTCCTGGATAAGTTTAGTAATGAACGCTCGTGCTCGGGCTGATCCCATGCTTGCAACCATGGGCCTGGGCTGGGCTTAGGTGTCATAAAGCGGGCCTGGGTTGAAACATTAGGCCCATGCAGTGCTCTAAAAAGAAACCATGCAAGTTCAACCTACATGTCAGTGTCTTTCTTTGCAGATCTTTGAATGAATACCAAAGGCGGCAAGCGGCTCAAAATGGAAAGGAAACTCGGGAGACGATCCCCTCACTTCCAAGCACATACAGCGTGCATGACTTTCACAGCTTTGGGCTCCAGGGCTCAGGCGTGGCACCGGGCCTCCATTTTCATCTGGCAGCCAGCATCAATGCGGAGACTGGTAATCATTGGCAAAGTTTTTTTGTGGTCTCTGGGCAGTTATCTTTTCCCACATGTGCTGTGGGACAAGCAGTGAGAAGAGCCCATGCTGCATCGTGCGGTGTCCCCAGCTTCTGTGTCCCCAGCTGCGCAGTCCCCAGCTGCCTTGATGACCTGAAGTACTGACTTGGAGTATCACCAAAAATTGTGACTCTGGGTAGTTGAAAGTGTGTGGGTGCTTAAGATAAACACCAAATCAGTCCAGTGTTCTAATTAATGTTGTGCTTTCAGCTTGAGTAGTAATAGTACAAAGGTCAAAGTCCCAGTTTGTGAATTTTGTTTCAGGAACTTGGCACTAGTACTTAAATTTGATGTGCATAATAGTTGTTCAAAGCAATGTTCTGAATTTAATCTGTTGTCACTATAAACATTTGTGGCACATGTAAAGTGCAATTCTTGGTTCTGTGAGCTAGGTTACAATGTAGACAATCTTTAAGGTGTAAAAAAAATTAATTTTGTCCGAGCAGACAGCGATTCCAAGGATATTAAACTATAATTTACAAGCAATAAAAAACAGTACTGTTCCATGTACTTTTTACAGTAAAATTAGTATGAAGGCAAACAGTGTGCACAGATTTGCCCAAGATCAGTTGCTCATTTCATATAATGTGACCTCTTTGGTGTAGGTTTATAATTGTTTATTATTTGGTAAGGGAACATTTTGGACACACATTGACAAGTTGGGGCAACGCTGTAGTGCTGACTTTCTTGAATTAATGGCACACAAGAATAGACTAGAAAAAGTGCAAATATACAGTACAATGTGTACAATCGGTACTAATGACAGTGAGACAATAGTTTAGGAAAAAAGTGAAGAGGCTTGAAGAGAGTAGTAGTTCAACCATGAACACTGCTAATGCCAACACTGGGAGACTGAACTGCTGCTAATCAATCAAACATGCTGTGTGTCTTAAAAAACAGAAGAGGTTTTCCTTTACAGTGACGAGCACAAAGCGATTGTAATGTCTGAACTTTATCAAATGGTACGTTTTCCCTGCCCGAATGTACAGCAAAATTGGTTTCCCTGACACAGACATCCCACTCGTGCCCAGCATGAGTGGAACAGCATCGGGACATGGAGTCCAGGAGCCCAACTTCGTGCTTCATTGGCTCAACAATAAGGAGATGTCGTTCAGCAGTGCCACAGAGCAGCTGATCCAGGAGCTGAGCCTGAAGGCCCTGCAGGCACGACGGGAGCAGCAGAGGCAGCAGCAGTTGGCAGCCCAGCGAAAGGCCGAAGCGGCGGAGGCTGAAGAGAACCAAGAAGAGGGCAATGAGCCCGAGGATCTTGAGGCAGCTGGTGGTGTGTTGCTGTTTTGGTGTCTGTCTCTTTGTACGCTGGAAGGACATTTATCGTGCTTTATCCTAGTTATATAGGGCATTACCACTTAGTGTTATTGTGATTCTACAAAAATGTTGCAGCAGTACTCGGCTGCTGACCTGAAAGTTGCGAGTTCAATTCTAGCCATGGTAATTGCATTTTCGATAGATGTGACATGCTAGAGGCCCGTGCACTGTACAATGTTGGCACACGGACAATTTCCGAAACCCTCCATTCAGCCACATAATCATATCATGGTTTTGAATCATAAAATCGCAGATAATATTATTACTATTATGCTGCAGCACGAACTGCAACATAGTACTTGACAGAAGTGCTTGGCACCTTTGACTGCTCTGAGAAGAGCTATGCGTGCAATTCGACATTTTAGGAAGCAAGCTTGTTCAGCAATGTGAAGTTTGTTTACTGCCTGAAGGCAGCTGAAAGTTAACAGAATCTAGGTAAAAATTATTCATGAATTTCATAACAAACAAAATTGAAACATAGTAGGTGTAACTGCCAAAAATTCTCCTTGAACTTTATGAAAAAAATGTAGGCTATTGTGCATATGGACAGCAATGCGTTTACATTTGTATGCCTCACACGTGTACACACACAGCTATTTCGCAAAAGGACCGTGTTACTTGCCTCAGTGGCTGTCAACACATTGTGACCATTTTTTGCAGTCTCCAAAACCAGCTGGCAAGGTAGATCAGGACTGAAATCACTGAGGCTTGGAAGCGTAACTACTACGACAACACCAGGTGAAGATGTAGCACCGGGTTCCCAGTCTGCCAAGGCCTTCTCGCCTGCATCGTCCTCAGCATCTTTATCCACTGAGGCATCTGGCAAGAACGTAGAGGTATGGAAAGGAAAAGCAACTGCTTTTATATGTTGGCCTGCATGGAAGACATGCACTACTCTGCAGCTTGTTATACTGTGCAAGTTAGGGCGTAGTGTGAGAAGTGAAACTTTTTTTTTTAAAGAGAGGAGTGACAAAAAGGTCATACACAGTAGACTCTTAGTAAAGAAAATTCTCCTAAATGAAATTGCTGCTTAAATGGAACAACTGTGTTTAATATGATTGGTTTCGTATCTGAATGCTACTGCCCATTTCATCACTCAGGGAGCGGAACTCCTGTTAAACTGAACGTACTTTTCTGATCCCTTCAGCTTCTGTTGAATGATAGTCTACTGCAATAACAGGTTCATCATCATCATGACAGTGAATAAACAAAGTGACCTACGAGTGCTGCACCTCTTTTCATTTGTCTGCTGTTTATTTGCTCTTATGACAATCATGAACAACCAATGCTTTAATGACCACCTCTGTCAGAACAGGTTCATCACATTATCAAACTTAGAGTTACAGTAATTCACATCTCATAGACAAATGACTGAATATGCTAGAGTGTCAAACTTTTCTTTTTTTAAGCTTTTATGTGCTGTTTATGTGGTGTCCCACGTAACTTTAGCCAGAGTTTAAAAATATGCCGGAACACGTGATTACAACGCGACCAAAGGCATGTTGCTCACCATTGCCTGGAGTTAGACTATTTTTTTTTGTTCTCAAAGATTGTTTAATTAGATCTGCTTAATTAACTAACTTTAGAAGGAACGAAGATGGATAAAAAATTTCAATGAGAAAGTTGTAGATCGGTTTGCAAAACGTTCAAATATATAGCTTTGAGCTTTATATCTGTTAAGTATTCGCGTTTTTCTGCCAATTAGAAATGCCCGCAAAATACGAAAAAATACCACGTGACAAACCTGCTTGCGCGTCATTGTGCATGATGATGCTAGTGCTCCCTAACGTTCTGCGTACGAACGACATGCTTCCCTCGCACCGGTTAATGACAGCGATAAGCAGTCACAGTTATCGTTTTTGTGGCCGATAGCAAAACGTGTTCATCGTAAAGCCACCTCCAGCGTTGCGGCCCTGCAGAGAAAGCACAATGGGGCAAATGCTATGGTCATTCGTACGCGGAACGATAGGGAGCACTAGAATCATTGTGCACACTGGCACACGAGTGGGTTTGTCGCATGGTATTTTTTGTATATCATAGGCATTTGTAATTAGCCGAAAAACAGTAGTACCAAACAGATATGAAGTTCAAAACTGTCTAATCAGACGTTTTGCAAACCGATCTACAACTTTCTCAATGAAATTTCTTATTTATCCTCGTTCCTTGAAAAGTTAGTTAATTAAACATATCTAATTAAACAATATTTGAGAACATAAAAAATAGTCCAACTCCAGACAACAGTGAGCAACATGCATTTGGTCGCGTCGTAATTACGTGTTCTGGCATATTTTAAAACTCTGGCTAAAGTTATGTGGGACACCCTGCATATTTCAATATGTACATACTATAGAGCTATACTATATATATATATACTATATACATGCATACATGGCATGAACTTTGGACATTCCTGTTCAACAACATAGGATCGTTGTCGAGAAGTGACAGTTGTGTAACAAGCGGTGCTTTGTTCATCTCTGATAGTCCGCTTCATACTAGCAGTGTTAACCATAACTAGTTTTTTCTCATGTAGAAATGAGATATATCTATCAAGGAAAAGCAAGGACCACTTCAGAAAACAGTTTGTAGACCAGCATCACGTAGATCAACTATGTGTTGTTGCATTTATTATAACAACTTTTAATGGATGGAAGAGGTAGAAAGCATTGTTGCTTTCACAAGAATGCAGTTTTTATACCATGCTGCCTAAATAAAATAAGTGAATTAAGAAACATTGGGTGCACTCTGTGCACCTCTCTGTCAATGCAGCAATCGCTGGGAAATGCCCTGGACCACAAGATAGAGACACTGTTGCGCGAGTGGCACCAGAGCCCCGACCTACTGTTCAGCATTCATCCGGTCGATGGGAGCTTTCTTGTTTGGTGAGTACCTTGGTGAGCGGCTGGCTAGTTAAGTGGTTGGGAGCTCCTTCCTTAGCCGCTATGGTCTCTTGGTTTCGTTAAATTGTGGCTGACAAAAGAAACAAGCCCTAGATCAATCAGTCCTCATTTGTTCAAAAACAGGATGTGGATTGTCTTGCCAAGTATTTGTCTCAGTGACCTTGGTTCATATTCTGGATATTTTGGCGTTGTCGTTCATTGAGCCACCTACTGGACTGCTCCCCATTTTGTTTTCCTCCGTGTCACGTAGGCTGGTTGACTGGCTGGATGAGTGCAGTCCTGGGTCGTTTCGCCAGGCCCTGGTGAGCTTCTCGTCGCGCATCCCGACTGCCATTCCTCTGGGCGACGCAGCCACTCTGTCGCACCATTTGGCCCTCTACCTGCCAACGGCTGGCCTCGACCTGCGCACTGTCCTGTCTGGGCTGGGAGCGTGGGCCCTGCCTAGCCCCCTCACACCCGTTGCACCCGTCACCCTCGTGGTTCCACCGCAACCAACACAGCAGCAGGGGTCATCTGCACAGCAGGTCAGGAGTGACGTCCTGTACACTGTTCACGTATTGAGACAACCTAGGACTGAGTAATGTGCATACATTCATTTCCACCGTCTTAAGTTCTTGTCATATTGGCGTATTGTAACTCTCGAACGTCAGAACCAGCATTAACCTTTAGCATCAAGATTTGTCGTGACAAGACACGGTTATCTCAAGCAGTTGCTCATATTAGTCATTATACTACAAAAAATTGTGGCACATTTCAAACCCTATGGACTGCAAATGCTTCCGGAGAAAAACTTCAAAAATGTGAAAAAAAATCAGTCCTTTCACTCATGTGGAGATGTAACCTAGCAAAGCTTACTATTCTGGGCCTGTTACAATAAACATTACTATCGAGAATTTATATTCAGTAGCACAGCTAATTGGGCTAGTTGGTACTTGTTCAGTTCATATTGACAGGATATGGCATTCATGTGACCTAAATCTTCTCATTATTGACTATATTGAGCAAACGAAAAGTCATAACACTCAGAGATCCATATGTTTTTCTTCTACATGATGCATATTATCTTTTTAACGGCAGCCAACGGGGGTCACAAGATGAAATACTTTAGTACATAACCCCATTGTTTCAAAAGTAGAAGATTGTCAGATTTGTCTTTCACACTAGTGGTCTTGTCTTTGAGGCAAAATCGGTGAAGTCATTCTGCAATGTCCATTTTTTTTTTAAGGCAAAACCACTAAGTTAGTCGATTTAATGTTCGCGAAAAATTACTGTTCAACGCAACTTTCGCCAATAGACGCAATCCGTCAATGCCTAGTCATACGCAGCAAAATTTTAAAATAACCTTATTCTATTCTTCAAAACTTGATGGAATTTTTTTCACATTGGCACATTTACTCAACTTCCTTGCAGGCTGAAGAAAATGAAGATGCGGAAGACAAACCACGCCCGTTTTGCTGCCAAGCAGCCCCCACACCGAGTGTGTGCATGCTGTCGAAACACCACAATGGCTCACTCAACTTGTGGCACCTTACATTCAGCGAAGAGTCCCACTTCACCCATGTACGTAACGCATGCTGCAGCAATTTCGTCTTGGCACATTTGCGGTGTCTTGTATTAGCTCCTCCCAAGAATAGGTTAAACTTGTAGGGTTGACTTCTATTGGCATGATATCACTCAATTCATTTTGTGTAATATTGATTGTTTTAAGGCATTAAACTCCATGTTGAAGTTACTACATAAAAATTTCGTAATTATCAGTGCCTGCGAACAGTGCTAAACACAATGAACTGTAAACAGTGCTTAAGTAGCTAACGTATATACTCTTCTCTGCTAAAGTTGTTAGCTCACTGTAATGTCCGATGCTATGTCAAATGTGATATCAGATGTGATAAGTCACAAACTTGTGAATATAAAAGGAACATCACAACTGGATAGCTTGCTTTCTCCAATTGTCCTTTTTGGTCGTACAGTGATTACAACATTGCTAGGCTGCTGAAAAATCGCAGGTTTAATCTCAACCACAACTGTCACATTTAGGTGAAGGCAAAATGCCAGAGGCCCATGTTCATGATTGATACGTGTGGTTTAATAATAACCACCATATGATTATTAGAGACGCTGTAGTAGAGGACTCCGAAAATTTTGACCACCTGGGGTTCTTTAACGTGCACCCAAATCTGAGCACACCGGCCTACAGCATTTTCACCTCTCTTGAAAATGCACCCGCCGCAGCCAGGATTCGATCCCGCGACCTGCGGGTCAGCAGCCGAATACCTTAGCCACTAGACCACCGTGGCGGGGCAGAATCTCTTTGCATGTTAAAGAGTGTGAGATGACTGAAATTTCTGGAGCCCTACACTATGTCGTGTTTTTTATTTACATAGTGGCTTTGGCGCATAAGACAAATTATGTTATTATGGTTTCACCAGTTGGTCTATCTCTCTTCTTGTTTCATTTGCTTTTTAAACTTGTATAGAAGTTTTGATGGGAGCTTTGCTGGACTTCATATGTTGCAGGTGCTCAGTATTGGCCATGCAGCAAGAGTGTCGGGACATCGGTTCAGGATAAACGACATCACATGCCATCCCGTGCTCCCATTACTACTGACCACGTCGCACCACAACCTGCCCAAAGGGAAGGAGCCCCTGGACGAAGAAGACGAGAATTCGCAGACTCAGGACTACTTTGACAAGCGGCGCCGTGACAGTGCGCTGGCCCCCGCACCCACGGAGGGCTTCTGCAGTGAGCTAATCCTCTGGAAAGTGGAGTCTGTGGGGCCTCTTTCCAAGTCTGGTGGTGTTGCCGAGTTGGCACGCATCAACTCACTCGAGCCATCTGCCTTCTCGAACGTCGCCTGGGTGCCCACCCTGCTTCCCAGGTTCCCTTTGTTCTTTCTCACTTTCCTTTAGAAAGGTTTCTCGAAAAGATGGCAAGTGAAGTACCACAGAAGTCCACAAAGTTGAAAAAGCTTCATAAAGAATATGTTGTCGTCCATTTCAGAGCAACATAATAGAGTAGAGCCTCCTTTATGCACTTAAAAAGCAATGAAATGTGGGAAAAAACATACTACCCAGGGAAAATGTACAATTCAAATTCATTAAACTATCATACACTCTCACTCGATAGCGGTATCACGATTGAAGTTATACTTTATCATAAATAAAACTCGTACAGGTTTCTCAAAACAAAAGCTTCAAAGTTAAAGTGATATTCATCCTGGTCCAGGGATCTTATCGACAAATTATGCTTTTCCAGGGAAGTTGTTCTATCCGAGTTTAAAATGAGAGACTATTACGCGTACCACAGAAGGCCTAATCAATTGACAACTCAATGCACAAAGACAATGGCCTCTCAACTCCTAGAATCCACAAAAATTTATGAAGTTTTATGAAGAATAAAAACTTGCACATTTAACTGCTACTATGCTAGTTCGCATGCTTGAATAAAGATGTGTTTTAAATGGAGAAGTTAATTTCTAGTGCTCACTTTCTCTACTTGAAACTGTGCAGCACGACATTGGGCAGCATATCCAATTCTCCAAGTGCCTGCTTTGTGGCCTCAGACGGTCTGCAGCTACGAGTGTACCAAGCTGTGATAGATGCGCGCACACTCCTTGCCGAGGTGTTGGCAGCAGCTCGCCAGAAGGATAATGCTGATGTGAGTAATTAGACTTATAGACATTCATATAATTTGCATAGAACAAATGCATCACTTCACTACACTGCAAACAAATCAATTCAGTTTAAATAATATTTTTTTACCAGTAAAAAGCAGTGCCAATCAATCTGTGTTACATCTTAAGGTAAAAAAAAGCCCTTCCTGCTATATTATACTGCTTACTTTAAAGGCGTACAGAAGCCAAGAGGCAATGTACTTAACATTTCAACTTGGGACTTGGCTTCTACATGTTCAAACACCTTCTCAAAATGTGCCAACAAAACTATGTTGCTGTTGGCAAAGACACTGCTGAAGTAAAATGCAGCATTGTTTGCTTCATTGGGCTATAATTCATATTTTGGCCACAGATGATCACCATAGTTTGTGATTTTTTCCTTGTGTCTTGTACTGGTGGAGTTGTCATTCAAATATGCACTACCGCCAAGTAACCACCCAAGTCTTATTTCACATCATGTTTTAGTGAAGATTTGATCAAAAAATAGCTCCCAAGTGCTAGCAAGCAGGGAATGCTTTTTGATTTTCTAGGCTGTTGCATGCAACGTTCCCAGCAATGGCCTCTGTAAAGTTGTTGGTACAGTCGAACCCCTTTACAAGAGACTCTTATACAGGTGTGGAAGTGCTGGGTCATTTGTGCCATTCTGCGCCAATATGACCTGCTGCGCCTAAATGATAATTTGCGTGTGCAACGCCAAATTCAGTCGAGTTTTATCATCGACCAAGCAACAAGCGTGGGCTACACAAAAGACGCAACCGCGTCCATATCAAATTAGTTTGGTCACGTATTTTTGTTCATGCATGAATCTTATTAAGATAGCGTTAGTGTGCATACCATATTATGCGACTCTATATATGTATGTTTTACCAGCAAAGCTGTTAGCCAAACCATATAAACTGAAAAAAAAATATATATAACAAGTTTCACCGGTGAAGGGATGACTGCAATAGCAAGATTTTGTAATGTTGTAACGATAATGCGCACACACTTCTTTCTATTTTTGCTACCGCACCATTCCGCGTGTAACGCTGCCTTGCGCAAACCGCTCCCGAATGACTGGGAACAATTTAAATGATCTTAAAACTCTCTGATGAGATTACGTGCACCCCGCGCACATTAGCACCCCGCGCACATTAGTATGTTCTGGAACTTGCCCAGCCGCTAGCAACGATAACGCGAGAATCTTCAATGGCACATGTATAAATGCCGACCCACGTTGCTGCTTGGCAGATTATCGACGGCCGACGCTCTGGTTTACTGCCATCAGTCTAGAGCTTGTATTGCTTGTAGAGTGACGTTTCGTTTTCCGTGCACAGATTCGCCCAAATAAGGTTCACTCATGAAAACAGCGGCTGCTGCCTTCGTCAACCTCCCAACCCCATGACAATACGAAGGCTGAAAGCTAACGCTTTTTGATCCGACATCTCGACACTCTTCAAAGCGCTAGTATCAAAAAGACGTACGGCCGCACCAGGGAGAAATGCTCTTATCGCACAATCTCATTTCATTGAGAGCGCACCACGTAGAACGGTTTATGAGCCGCGCGCACCAGCTTATCACAGCCACGCCCTTAGAATCCAAGTTTACCGCTGCTGCTCGAGCGACCCAATCCCCCCCCCCCCCCCCCGCCCCCTCCTTTTCTCCACGTATTTTTTTCATGCTCATTCAAGACATGTGGTGCGTTTCATCTGTGCTTGAGCATATGACGGCAGGTCTAACACGCGGTGCGATGGTATCGCGTGTGCCCTTCTAGTGACCAAGATCGGTCGTCTTGTTTAATCTCTGCTTGAGCAGTGCTCAACACCCCATCTTGCGCAATTTTACGCGCGAGTAGAACCTATGATGCACGGGAAATGTTACCAACTTGTAGTTTATGTACAACATGGTGGCGACGGCGGAAACCCGTCGAGTGCCCATGTAGTTCCTATCTTAATAAAAAAAAATCACTTAGTTGCCTAGCAGTGGCGCAGGGAGCCCATCTAAATTTCTTCGCGGTTCTCATGTGGGCTGTGGCACTTCGATGACGGGAACGCAAGTTTTTTAACATTTCTTTTATAGAGGCCTAATGGTTTAGTATTAAAATAACCTTTAATATATTAGTTCATTTCTAGTCTTGAGTTAGATGCAGCGTTTTGATCACATTTTAAACATTGCCACGTTTTAACATTAAATTTTTCTATTCGTCTGAGCAGCTGTTCAGAGCTCCACTTATGTTTTTTTTAGTTACTGTGCTTTCAGCTTTGATGTTGTAAGGTTTAATATATATATATTAATTTGGGGTAAGTCTCGTCACTTGATGAGCATTGAATGCTTATCAAAAACCACTGAAATTTTTTGTATTGATGAGAAAGTGAAGAGAAAACAAAAATTCTAATAAACAGTGATGTGTGACCCAACAAATCTGCTCCAGAACTAAATTTTGATGCTCCAAAACACGCCTTTTGATGCTCCAAAGCTGTTCCAAACACCTCTTTTACTGCTTCAAGGATGCTCCAAAACCGTGTTATTCCTGTTCCCAAAGCTGCTCCAAAAGTCTGAAGCCCATTTCCACCCCTGCTTATATAAAAGACAAATGGGTATAAGAGAGACTAGTGTGCCTACTGTAAAATACGGGCTGATACGAAAATGCATACAAGGTACCCTGCTTATAAGAGACATCTCATATAAATGACAAGAACTGCTGCTTGAAGCGTGCCTCTTTAAAGGGTTTTAACTGTATGGGATCATGGTGTAAGGATCTCTAAAATAGTAACTCTACACATCATTTGAAAGGGAGCAGCAAGCTACTTTTAGCACGTTACTACTTGCAGTAAATGCCTTGATTTATACTACATAACATGAAAAAAACTTGGCAATACTGGCCATTTTTGTGCATCTTGCACTGTCCATTACACATTTCAGCATGTACCTGGATGCTCCCAGAGTGTGGCTACTTTTTTTCTTGTTACTAAAAAGACATTTCTTCTGTGTGAGGGAGAGAAGGTAATTTTGAGGGCTCGTTTCTTTGTTTCATACAGCCTTAGTGAAATTAAGGGTGCATCATAAGTTATGTATATGTCAAAGGCAGAATAATTCAATGGGTAGTCAATTTAATCAGTACGGTCTAACAGTCGCTGTTTTTGCTTATCTAGAGCCCTTTCTGATCTATCCGTTTGATAGTTTAGATACTATAAGTTTATTGCTTTATCTGCTTATATAAAAATAGGTTTAACTAGATTTTTGATTATCTGTTTGTAAGTGCTACTAAGGGGTTAAAAATTATTCAATGCCTCGTGAACTTTCTTTAGGCGCATTGAAAAGTTCTGTTAAGAAATGTCAGGGAAAACAATCTTGCATGAGGTGTCATCATGACGCTTTTATTTATTTTAGCATTACGGAAGTGCCCGAGACCTCATCGTGTGTTGTTGAAGCATGTGTCTTGTTGGTGCAGACCATCAGCCTGTCAAGCACCACGTCATCAGGAATGGACATGCACCATACAGGGCTTCAGGAGGAGTTTCGCATTGTCAGCCTCCAATCCACAGCTCGCCCTGGCTGCATTGTGGAACTGGACGCCATTGCAGATGCTACAAACGTGAGCAGCCAAATGCACTTCTCAGTACTAACCTTTTGCTATGGCACATTGCTATAGCTTGTTGCTTTTTAAGTGTCAGTGGCCTATGAGTGGGTGGACCCTGGCATAGAGTACCTACCCATGGAATTGAGTTCATTATATGCACTTATATGACAGCATCAGTCTGATAAAATGAATTTTTGAATACATGGGTCTCTGTGAAAACATCCAGAGTAATCTCAATCAATTCATTACAGATATCTAACCCTTTGCTAGAGTCCGTCTCATTACAATGATCCCGGCCGCGGCAGTCACATTTGGATGGGATCAGTGTGCTAGAGGCCTATGTACTATGCAATGTCAATTCATGTTAAAAAACACCAGATGGTCGAAATTTCTGAAGTCCTCTGGTACGCCAGCTCTCGTAATGATGTCGTGGTTTTGGGACGTAAAAGCTCAGATATCATAATTATCATTTTATTAAAACTAGGCTTGTGCATATGTATGAATACTTCGAATATTCCAATGAATAAGGCAGAATTTGTATTTGCTTCGAATAGAATTTAAAATATTGAAAGTTTCAAATTATTCTAAACAAAAGCCAGGTGCATATTAAACCGCTTGTAACATTTTGTGAAAATGGTGGCACTGCAGTGAAGTGATGCTGAGCCGTGAAAACATGTATCCAGGAAAAGTCCACAGTGGCAGGATGCCCCACTTCAACACTTTTTTTTAGTTTAGTTTACGAGCTCGTTATACCAACTTACGTGCTTTAAGTATAGCAAATTTTAAAACGTGTCATACTTTACAGGCTATCACTTGCATTGTACCAAAAGTCAAGTCCTGCTACTATTCAAAGCTGTTTCTACTTCCTTTGATGCAAAATAAAAGGCATTTGCACAGGCCTTGTTTCAACTTGAAAAAGAATATTGTGCAGGTTATACTGGTCATGACAAATATGCTTCTTTTTCTTTAAAATATGCAATATGTATATATACTATTTGAATTCATTTTGAAGTTATTCGAATGAAATCACTGTTTGCTTTAAATTTGCTTGGAACCTACAATTCACTATGCACAAACCTAATTACAACGAGACACAGTTGCACCCAATATGAGTTATAGCATGTTTGTACTGAAGGTGGTGCCATCACTGCAAAGCGCTTCAATCAGTTAAGTAAGCACTATTTTAGTTGACGATATTTCCTGAATCAATTTATCGTTTGCTTGTTTCAGGCTTGGGGCCCCTTCAACCATGACCACCGTGTTGCTACTCGTATTGAACGCGACTGTATGTGCGCATCTGCATGTGCATGCTAATCTGTGCCTGTGTACATTTCTACCTGTCCTACACCTTTCATCTTTTCTTTTATGACATTTTGACAAGGTTTCTTCTCTACTGACAACAGTGTTTGCATTGTTGTTATAGAAGCTTGCCTTAACACTACAGCTTAGCCTCATATTTGTCATTCAAGTCCTTCAAAAGTGCTGTACATTTGTTTTGTTCCTTTATGGTACCCTAATGGTATGCCTTTCTGTTGACGCAGGACTGGCAGAACACACAGCTGCTACACGTGTTCCAAGAACCGCTCATAATGGGTGCGAAGCAGGGAGTGCTTGGCAGCTCAAGTAGTGCTCCGGGAGAGGAGGCACTCGAGAAAAACGTGGGGCTGCTAGAGAGCTCGTTTCAGGTTTGTTGACCTATGCTGACAAGTGGTTTCCTTGAACATCAATACGTATTCGATGGGTATTGGATCTAGTCGGTAAGATAAACTACCGTACAGTTCATTACAGTATTGATTACTGAATGTGGAAATGGGAAATGCAATGAAAGAAAAAAAAACAAGACAAACAAGGGCTGCCTTTTGTCTATTGTTTCGCCATGTTTTTCTAATCCCATAACTCTATATGCTACTTATGCATAACAGAATATGTAGCCTATTATCCCATATAATAATTGCTTTAAAAAAAAAAATAAGAGGTACTTGAGACATGACATGTTTTTGCCTAATTGGCATCAGTAAAATAACAAGGCTGGCTTTGTGTGTGTAGAATATATTTGCATGTTCATGACAACACATCAAAAATAGAAAAGTATTGATTGTCTATGAGACACACTATACCTAAAACTTGATGCGTACCTAGCCGTTGAGGCCAGCTAGCTGGAATGCATGGAATGCGGTTGCACACCTATGTATGAATCCTGCAGTGTAGGGGCGAAGCATAAAGATAAAGACGTCTGAGAGATAATTGGAGCCAATGCTATCTTTCGCAAAGATGACACATTTGTAAGTGCACGGTCAGCTGACCTTTCAGATCGGGAAAGGGCATTTCTGCTTGGCTAGTGGATAGACTGGGGGCGCCACTGTGTATGTATCTATACATTGTTATTTCCTAAAAATAAAAATTATTGAAGTTGGCGCACTGTGTTGTCCTCTCTCTGATGTCCCTGTCTCTTAGCACTCAATATGTTGTCAAGTACCATTTACCAGCATGCCCAAAAAATGGCAATGCTAAATATACAGCCAGAGCTAGGGACCCCTAAAATTTATGGCACACTTATATGCTTCAGACTTTTCTGCACTTGTGTTTCAGGTTAGCTTGCTGGCCTCATTTTGGTGGTATGTGCAGAATGTTGCTTGTTAATGTTTTTATTTTTCTCTTTGTGCGATTGCACAGGCTTTTGTAGATCTTCGTCACACAACTGTCTTCGAGGAGCCTTTTTATCTGGTCGTCCTGGAAAAAACGAGCACTGGCCGCACAATGCTCCACATGTGGCGTCTCGTCATCAGCTCCAGGCCAGGTGCCACAGGTAACTGCATCATCTACCATACCTCGTCATCCATATAATATGTACTACAAAGTTTTCAACTAGGAGTAGGCATGGTATATTATTAGGCACAGCTGTGCGAATAGCAAAATTTTATGTGCGATGCGAACTGGAGTAATAAAGTTTGAGTGCAAATTGAATAAAATAATTTTTAAACAGTAATAAGCAGAGCTGTGCGAATAGCAAAATTTTAGGTGCGATGCGAACTGGAGTAATAAAGTTTGAGTGCAAATTGAATAGAATAATTTTCAAACAGTTGTAAAATATTTGCTTAATGTTTTTCTAATGCTGCAAAGGAAAAACAGAGGATACCTAAACACATTGTGAGATACAGTAATACCTCGTTAACTCAAACTCGCATGTCTCGAAAAATTGGCTAAGTCGAAATTTTCTACAGCACCGAACATTTTTCTATACGTCCTATGTATAATTTTCTCTTCATCTCGGAAGTATTTTCGTGTCGGGTTGCGGATAACTCGAAATCTTGAGTGGGATTGGAACGAAAATTTCGCCGCCGGACCATTTCACAAGATTTGCGCGATGGTGCCACACCTAGAGTCTGTAGGGTTCTTTTTTTTTTCCTAATTAGCCATGCCTGCCACTGCATCGTTGCTTTTTGCCAACGCGAAAACGCGATGCTGCCATGCCTAAAGTCAGTCGGTTTTTTTTTATTATTTAGCCGCGCCTGTCACTACGTCAATGCTTTCTGCGAACGCTAACGAGTGGTCAAGGTGAAACGCGCTCCAGCTATGGTCCAGTGCCTGTGTCTACTCTGAAGAAACGATGACTACGAAGTCTTGCCAAACACTTTAATGAAATTTACAAGAAACCCAACCCTCCTCCCGTGTCTTTACATATCGAACAAGTATTGACTTGAGTAAACGCTATCCCGAGTTTCACTTCAAATCATTCTTCCAGCACCCGCGTTGACACCTGTTTTAATCTGGTCAACTCGGTGTGCACCACTGCTGCTTTGCATCCCATTAGGGTTCTCTTCGGGGAGATGGTGCATTTTTTTTATTTAGCTGCACCTGCCACTACGTCGATGCTTTTCGAGTACGCAAAGTGGGCGAAGTGTCAGCCCAGCGACATGCCAACTTTGTCAGGCAACCCTGTGGCACGTAATGTGACGCACATGCTGAGCAGGATGGCCCTCTGCTTACACTTGGCGTAGCTCATCTCGTTCATTATGTGCATTGCACATGATTTTCCGAGGGGTGATTTCCGTTCGTCTGTGAAAACGGAGCAGCACTGTGAGGAGCGGCAACTTAGCGTGAGTGCGGCAAGCCTGGCGTCTACCGGAAGAGCCAAGCCTTCTACCAAAAGAGCTTTCTCCACAGAATTTTGTTGTCTTATGAAAACGGCAAAGGCTACGGAATTGAACCTTTTGGGAGCTGTACACTTTCTCAGTAACGCTTGGCAGCAAGTTCATGCAGCGGCTATCACTAACTGCTTTGTGCGCGCTGGGTTTTTACGTGCTGCCAGTTTTCCAGAAGCAGAGACAGATGACTTCACAGACTGTGAGGAAATTTGTTAGAAGGTCATCAAGTTTACAGGTGACAGTGCTGCCGAAAGCTACATGACTTTTTGGAGTATGCGCTGTGTGAACAGGATGTGGCGATAACTGGAAAAATAGCGGACGTTGAAATCATTCAAACGGCCACTAACGTATGGGACAGCAGAGACGACGGCGATGACGAACCACCTTGAGAGGTGCCGACATCTGAGATGAGAAATTTGTTGCGCTTGCTTCAAAATAAGGTCGAGTGTAGCGGCGGCAAAGATCGACTGATGCAATGCGTCAAGCAGCTGGAGAACGCCTTCCTAGGCCTGTGTACGACTGCAAAGCACACGAGCATTAGGCAGTTTTTCTCTGCTAAATAAAATGGCAGTGCGGCAAAACCCAGTCGGTTAAAGTCTCTTGTATGTTATTTTTTTCTCTTTTAAACCTGCACCAGAAGAAAGATTAGAAACTGCCGCTGAAGAGCTGGTAAATAGCACTGATTTTTTTGTGAAGCGCCCATTTTCCTGGCGATTCGCGAAACTTAGCTTATCTCAAAAATCTGTCGTGAGTAAACAAGGTATTATACTGTATATGAACATGGAAGTGTTCCTTTTGGCTAGATTACTGAAGTGATAGTGAATGATGTTCTTTGGTTGTTTAATCAAGTATGAGGCAATTCAGAAGCATAACTGTTTTATTTAAATGATTTGGGGCAACAAATGTGATGTCAAGAACAATTTACACCTATTCCCTCTTCAACTTCTGTGGAGGCCACATTGAATTGATGGACAAGGGCCCTTCGAATTCAAAGTTGGTAATCTGCCCTGTAGACGCCAATGTATAGAACATCTGGAATTTCAAATCTTTGTCCAATTTTTTCAGACTTTTCATCTGAAACGCTCCGAATTGAAGCCCTCACCTCTGCCGCGTAGGTTTGAACCAGTGCTTTCGCGAGTCGGGGTAGCGGAACCCTGAAGACAGTTTTGTTGCAATACCAAAATGTGATGCAGTGAAGCTTAAAAACATTGTGAAGGGCTCATTATAGTGGTGCAGTGCATCTTTATGTTGGAGCCAGTGTTTTCTCGAGTCAATACACATTCGACCTTAGAGTCTGAAGGGCAGCTTTGTGCAATGCAAATGTGATGGGGTGAAGCATATTCGAAACCTGAACGGGCCACTGCCATTCGGACATTGACCGTATTTGTCATTGAGAAGTTCAAATACTTTGAATAGTAAAAAGCAAAGCGAATTGAATAGCAAATGCTATTCGAAAAATATTCGGAAGTTCGAATATTCGCACCTGGAGTTGTTTAAGGGAAGATGCGATTCGAAAAAAAAGTTGCATTATTACGTAGCCTAGGCAAATGAAATTTTTGCTGTATGTGTGGTCTTTTATGCTGATTTTAAATGCGTAATTAGTTTTTTAGTAACTTGCACAGTTTTTGTTTTATACCGTGGCATCAGTAAAGTATAGTTCATTTTGGACAAACTTTTTATGCCACTTAAGTTTTCTTGTTCTGAACCACTAAGGCCCAAATAACGAAACGTTCCTTTCTTTTGACCGCGTCCTCTCCTTACGTGAGGCTTCCTTACAACCAAGTACCAACGGAGAAAGCAAGCGTAGTCTGAAAGCTCCCTTAACCCGTCCTCGCGGGAGGAATGGTTGCCGCGCTCCTGCGTTCGAGATTATCGAATATAAGCTTTTTGCTCACAAGCATTTATTCTGTAAAAAAAAGTTGGGTCACCACATCACTTCCAAATAGAAGTGTTAATATAGAGACGCAAGTACGCTTTCTTCCAACTACGGTTACTGAATGTGAAAAGCCACCGTAGTCGAGCGCAAAATGTGGTGCATTCTAGCAACACTGCGCGCCGTCGTGCCTGGCACCGTGCACGCACACTCGCCGCTCGTGTCTCCCCGCAGAGGTGGGGTGGGAGGGTTGCCTCGAAAACGAAAACATCACGTGGGCTAGCTGTGAGGCGAAGCGCTCGTTCAGGGCAAGGAGCGGACCTAACAGCGCACGAAGGTAGCCCCAAAGCAACCTTAAGCTGAGGAAGCGCCAAGGAAGCCTTCACCGAGGGCTCCTCAGTGAGGAAGCTTTCAGAGTGACATAAGGCGGCCTCACAAAAATGAAGGCTTCCTCACTGAGGAAAGGAACGTTTCGTTGTTTGGCCCTAAGGACTCGTTTTACTCTGTTAACGGTAGAATGCAAGTAAGTGTCAAGAAAGGGCTTATAAGACAATTGAATGAACAAGAAAAATTATAATGTGAGAATTCTTAGAATCCCCAGCCCATACTAATTGCTTACTTTAGGTTTGTAATAATTATACTGGCAATATCAAGTTGTAAAGAAGGCATTTGCACCCTTCACATGTTAAGGAATATGTGGGCAGAACTTTATCTCGAGCAGGCTGCCAGAAGTACGGAAAACGTGATGTCCAATCTCAAGTGGCCTGAAAATAGAAGATGAGAAAATGCATTTTAAAGGTATAAGTGAAAGCTCATGTATGCAGAAAAGGTTTGTTTTTTAAGATCATTTCTTCTACAATATCAGCTTGGCAATCTTCTTTTGTAAGAGTTTTGACAGAGTGCGCTATGTTGTATCTGTCTTTTTTCTGAGACATTCCCTGCGCACTAATAAAGTATATTTCTTTCAAAATTAGCTATTATGGTTATTTTGAGCATGCAGCTTTAGCGAACTTCTCATTTGAAATGCAATGGCAAGCAGCCAGGTGAAAATTTCCTGAAGACTTCAGGCAATGGGCTCTTTATAGTTTCTAGTAGGCCTCGCCACGCTGGTCTAGTGGCTAAGGCACCCAGCTGCTGACTCGCATTTCGCAGGATCGAATTCCGGCTGTGGTGGCTGCATTTTTGGCAGAGGTGAAAATGATGTAGGCCCATGTGCTCAGATTTAGGTGCACGTAAAAAATCCCAGGTGGTTGAAATTTCCGGAGCCGTTCGCTACGGCGTCTCTCATAATCATATTTTGGTAACACCAGATATTATTATTATTATTATTATTATTATTATTATTATTATTATTATTATTATTATTATTGGTTTTTAGTAGCCACCTTTAGCTCACTGAAATCGACTTTAACATAATTCGAGTTTAATTACAATCTTCAGTTTCTTTGTCATGAGAGTAGACAAACTAAACTTGGGAAAGCAAATTAAAATGAAAAATATGTAATTTTGGAAAGAGCTTTTGCTTGTCGACTTGCATCTTCCCTGAAGTCTCAAATATCTACATAGAAACTGGCACACCTTAACAACCAGTAGTTTTCAAAGCCTTCAGACATGTTATATCTAGGCCAGGCAGCCACATGAAAGCAGACTGCCTGTGCACTAATTCAGGTCATGGTTATCATCATCATCACCCTAACTACGACCACTGCACGGCAAAATCTTCTTTTATGTACCGCCAATCAATCCAGTTCTGTGCTTTCTGTAGCCACATTATACCTGTAAACTTCTTAATTTCATCTACCCACTTAATTTGACAGTGAAATTGGTTATAAGATCACAACACTGATCACGTGCACGCCGTTGTCGCCGGTGTTCGTAACCACTATCTATCGCACAAAATAAGAAAAAAAAAGTCGGTATATAAAAAACACCAAGGACACAATAGGATTCGAACGCGGGTCTCCAGCGTGCCAGTCCAGTATTCCACCACAGCACCACGCCGACGCTTGGACCTTCCTTGGAAATCGGCCCTAATTGATTGATATGTGGGGTTTAACGTCCCAAAACCACTATATGATTATGAGAGACGCCGTAGTGGAGGACTCCGGAAATTTAGGCCACCTGGGGTTCTTTAACGTGCACCCAAATCTGAGCACACGGGCCTACAACATTTCCGCCTCCATCGGAAATGCAGTTCGAACCCGCGCCCTGCGGGTCAGCAGCCGAGTACCTTAGCCACTAGACCACCGCGGCGGGGCGGAAATCGGCCCTAGGCAGGCTTGATGTTGTGAAATAAATCGCGTTATAGAACAGCAAAGAAACAACCAGATGTCAGATAATGCGAATTGTGCTACATGTGGGCCGTCGAATGCTCCAACTTTTACAAAAGCTTCATCTTGTTCACCTATTAACTGTGACGCATACCCACTGTGGGGGATTGTAGAGATTACAAAGGCTTCTGGCATAATTCTTCACCGTCGTCAGCCACAGCACACAAAAATTGCACAACATTCTTTGCAAGTGTGCAGCAGGTACCCCGCTTCTCCGAGTAATGATGAAGGATAAGGCATAGTGAATGCCTGCTGACTACACGATTTATGGCGTAGTGGGTACTCTGCACGTGTGCTGACAGCAGCTACCCCAAGAGTGTTGAAAAGAGGCTCTTGAAGGCTGCTCTTCCAGATTTTGCTGTGACGGTGCTGCGCGTTCAGCACGGGCCTGTTGGTTTTCTCTGTCTCCCCTTCACGTGTTTGCCTTTTCTTAGAGTCATGTCAGTTAGCGTTAATGACCAGTGGTTATCCCTGCCTATGCACTACGTGGTCGGCCCATGTCCATTTCTTCTTCTTCATTTCAGCTATCAATATCCTTAACCCCTGTTTGTTCCCTGACCCACTCTGCTCTCTTTCTGTTTTTTTAAGCTTGCACCTATCATTTTCCTTTCTGTCGCTCTTTGCTCGCCGCATTGTCCTCAATTTAAGTTGAACCCTATTTGTAAGCCTCCACGTTTCTGCTTCATAGGTAAATACGGGTAAGATGCACCTGTTATATACGTTTCTCTTGAGGGATAATGGTAGACTTCCGTTCATGATTTGAGATTGCTTGCTGAATGTGCACCATTCCATTCTTTTTCTTCTACATAGTTATTTCATTCCGATGGTTCGGCTCTGTGGTTACTACCTGTCCTAAGTGTACACATTCCTTTACAACTTTCAATTTATCACCCCCTATCACAAAGAGCTGTTCTCTGCCGAGACTGTTAAGCGTTACTTTAGTTTTATGCATTTTAATTTTCAGGCCTACCCTTTTGCTTTCCATGTCCAGTTCAGTAATCATGAGCTGTAATTCCGATAGTCTTCCCATATTGCATACAAAATGGCAGAGTGGAAAAATGTTAAATACAAAGTTATTTGTTCCAGATAATGACTATTGTTAGGAATCTGCTGTGTCGCGATGGTAGCGGTGGCGAAGAGCGGCGAGCAGTCGAGCGGACATCGCTGAAGCCTTAGCCCGAAGGCGAAGCAGGGAGGCAATTAGTTTTGAAAACAGCAACAAAAAGAAGCGTTTACTATAGCAGGTTGTCGTTTGTACAGAGCCAACCAGCACGACAACGTCAGTAGGGGCAAAATCCCACAAACATGGGGCCGGCACGGCCTTAAATAACGTCTTTGGTCCATTCTCTAAAACCAGATCTTGGGCTCGAAGGGGGAGACGTAGCCATACCCGTAACTGCAAGGTGGTTCGGCGGAGGAAGCCACGTTATCCCCGGAACTGCACGGTTCTTCTGCACAGAAGGCGGCGCTGGGAGGGGGGAGACAGTTCGTCCGAACAGCGCTTGATTTTGTGAGACGTGCTCCCGAACGATGAAAATGTCTGTGGCACAACAGCACCCCCGCCGCCAGACAATGCATCCGCCGTTTTGAGCCGTCTAGGGTGGCTCGGAAGGAGGGATGCTGGTTGACCGTCGATACTGTAGCCACTCCGTGGTGATCTTCAGAGCCCTGCAGGGAATCACTGGAACGACGAAGTTGAACACAAAGCCAAACCGCTTTCGTGAAAGCCAGCACCCTATGAACGTCTCTCATAGCGCCAGACCAAGGCAGCAAAGAGATCTATTGACTCTCTACTATTGTACATTTTAGCACGAGAAACGTATCCCTTAGAGACCTCAAAACACTGGCCCCCACGAACGCTGTGATTACACTGCGCAGTCCCGATGCCAAAAAAGGCCGGGCGAAATATCCTCAATGCGCTGCCACCACTGTTAGGAATTTGCTGTGTCGCGATGGTAGCGGTGGTGAAGAGTGGCGAGCAGTCGAGCGGACTTCGCTGAAGCCTTAGCCCGAAGGCGAAGCAGGAAGGCAATCCATTTTGAAAACAGCAACAAAAAGGAGCGTTTACTGTAGCAGGTTGTCGTTTGTACAGAGCCGGCCAGCACGACAACGTCCGCTGGGGCAAAATCCCACTAACATGGGGCCGGCACGGCCTTAAATAATGTCTTTGGTGCATTCTCTCAGACCAGTTTTGGGCTCGGAGGGGGAAACGTAGCCATACCCGTAACTGCAAGGTGGTTTGGCGGAGGAAGCGACGTTATCCCCGGAACTGCACGGTTCTTATGCACGGAAAGCGGCGCTGGGAGGGGGGAGACAGTTCGTCGGAACAGCGCTCGATCTCGTGAGACGTACTCCCGAATGAGGGAAGTGTGTGGCACAACAGCACCCCCACCGCCAGACAATGCATCCGGAGTTTTGAGCCGTCTAGGGCGGCTCGGAAGGAGGGATGCTGGTGGACCGTCGATACTGTAGCCACTCCGTGGTGATCTTCAGAGCCCTGCAGGGAATCACTGGAACGACGGAGTTGAACACAAAGCCAAACCGCTTTCGTGGAAGCAAGCACCCTCTTAACGTCTCTCATAGCACCAGACCAAGGCAGCAAAGAGATCTATTGGCTCTCTACTATTGTACGTTTTAGCACGAGAAACGTATTCCTTAGAGACCTCAAAACACTGGCCCCCACGAATGCTGTGATTAAACTGCGCAGTCCTGATGCCAAGAAAGGCCGCGCGAAATATCCTCAATGCGCTGCCACCACTGTTAGGAATTTGCTGTGTCGCTATGGTAGCGGTGGCGAAGAGCGGCGAGCAGTCGAGCGGACTTCGCTGAAGCCTTAGCCCGAAGGCGAAGCAGGAAGGCAATCCATTTTGAAAACAGCAACAAAAAGGAGCATTTACTGTAGCAGGTTGTCGTTTGTACAGAGCCGGCCAGCACGACAACGTCCGCTGGGGCAAAATCCAGCTAACATGGGGCCGGCACTGCCTTAAATAATGTCTTTGGTCCATTCTCTTTGACCAGTTCTCGGGCTCGAAGGGGGAGACGTAGCCATACCCGGAACTTCAAGGTGGTTCGGCGGAGGAAGCGACGTTATCCCCGGAACTGCACGGTTCTTCTGCACGGAAGGCGGCGCTGGGAGGGGGAAGACAGTTCGTCGGAACAGCGCTCGATCTCGTGAGACGTGCTCCCGAACGAGGAAAATGTCTGTGGCACAACACTATGCACGTCAGTGCAGAAGGCATCTTGAAAAGAAAAGCTTAGGACAACGTGGTGCTGAGAAAGGACTTCAGCAGAGGTGTGAAACTTACTGCCGCAGAGTCAGATATGGATATGTGAAATCTGAAGGGGATGGCAAAATATTTCGATTATAATGGTAATTTGATAAACAAAATATCTTTTGTTCGGCTGTATGCCAGATGCTAGAGGCCTGTATACTTAGATTTAGGTATACTTTATGGAACAGCAGGTGGTCAAAATTACTGGAGCTGTCCACTATGGCCTGCCTCATAACAACATCATGACTTTGGCTTGAATCACCCCAGACATTATTTACATTATATAGCTTTTGTGTCAACATTGATCTGTGGTAGATGCACTGCAGCTTTGTTACAATGTATGTTTATATACACTGCTGGAATGTGTATATTTTATTATTTAATACCTCCTCTACATTAATTCAAGCACCCACTTATAAACGAAAAAAAATTTCTGTCCAATTGGCTCCTAGACTGTTTTCTGTTTCTGGCTTGGTTTTACCTGTTTAAAAGATTGAAATTGGTGTGTATTCTAACCTGTGACACATCTTCCTTGCAGGCAAAGGCCAACAAGATGGCTCTGCTTTCCCAGAGAATGTGGCCCAGCCAGAGGACGACGCTGCTTCCAATGCGTCCTCGCGGAGTGGCAGCCTTGACCACACTGACACTGGACAAGGGGCTCAGCAAACGGGGTCACCTCATGCCTCACCATTGCGCATAACAACTTCCAAGGTATCGATTGCACAATTGCAACGGTTCGTGCAGGAACAGGCATGCATGATGTGTGTCGTGTGCGCATGCACATGTAAACAGCTTATGCCCAAACAGTACTATCTTGTTTTTTCAACAGGCACCACTTGTCAATGCTCTCCATTTTAACAGGTTCTCAGGTTTTATGTGGAGGTTCTTTGGGGAGAAATTGTAGTTCGCTGTTACAGTTCCTCCAGATAGGTTTCTACAGGGCACTTCAGGATACACTAAATTATAGTTTATCTGAAGTTTCTGAGAATTCCGGCATAGATACCTGTGTTGCTTGCACTGAGGACTAGTCTGAGGATTGCTAGTGAATTATGCATCTTTTTACTGCTAATGTTTCTAAACCTAATTGGCAACACTGTCTGTGAAATTGAATGAGGGAGCTTTCATTGCTTAAGCTTATTTGGCAGATGTGTTGTATGAGTATTTTTGTAAAAATACTGGTTAAATGAAATGTTGACCTGCTTTTAACAAACAGTGTGCTCACACTTGGGCTTTTCGTTGTTCACAAGAGCATAAAGTTGCTCATTATTCTTAGCAGCGTTGTAATTGGCATTGCTGTTCATAGCAGCAGTCTTAACCCTGACATAGCAAGTGTCAGGGTTAAACTCTAGTCTAACAATAAATTGTTATTGGCTGTTTCCTATCCCAAAATTTTGTTGTTGTTGTTGGTATATCATTCAAAGTTCTAAATGCGTTACAGAATGCTATCTGTATGGTAACCTGGGAGTGTGCATCGACAATTGGAGCAGCTGTGTGTTTACCACATCGGATTCTCCGTGACATGTTGAATCTATGATCACTGCAACTGCGCCCTAACCTAACTAAGTGCCATGGTATGGTTATTTATTCTTCATAGGTGTGCACGCAAGAGCTGCCTCTACCGCACGATGTAGAAATTGCTCATGCAGCACCAGCAGCTGGCCATGTGAGCTCTTCAAACATCTACCCAGCTTGCTTTGCCCCATATGTTCTTTCCACCGCTTGCACTGATGGGTTGACAAGGTCAGTGTGAATTTACCAAACCTCAATAATGAGCATTCATAGGAGTAACTAAATTTGAAGATTTCTCACCAGTATCATTGTGTAGTGAGCATTCTTTTATGATGAAGAGTATTGGATAAAACTAGTGTATTTTGAGCATTAGACACAACTTTATTTCACAGCGAAATTCTACTGTATTGCAATACACCACCACTTCTGTGTTCCATCTCGAGGTGTCTGAGCTCCTTGACTCTAGAACAGAAGTTCAATCAATGATTTGCTAAGGGTATACAAGTGGTCTCATACATTTTTGCAAACAGTAACCCTAAGAACACACTGTCAGACAGCAGCACACAAGCCATCTGCTGTCTTCATATAATTATGGTAGGAAATGTTGACCCTCTCTATTTCTTATGTTTTGTTTCTTCATGGTGACAATTAGAAAGACTAATGTCTACATCCTGCCGTAAGTTAGGCTAGAGTGAATGCGGTATAACACGCATAAAGGTGCTACATGACTATTTTTTTATGTTGTGGAGCTTTTTTGGATGTACTGATAAGGTACGTACAGAGCCTGGACATTTGAGGAAGGTTCTGCAGCAGAATAAGTTGCATGTGTTTTCCATCCTGGCTCCTGCAGTTCATAGTATTTACAGTTGCGATAAAGCGTAATTGGTATCAAAATTCATGGCTACGGTTCGTTTCTCTCACACAGTTTTCAAGAACAGTCAATTATGATAAATTAAATTTCTATTTGGCTTGCTTGTAACCTAAAGTGTACCCTGTGGCTCAGTTACTAGTCTCTAAGTGGTGTTTTTTATGTCCTAGGAATTCTGCCAGTGAAATTTACTTTTCCTTGACGAGCAGACTTCTGTGCACGCACTAACTAGTAAAGCATGTTACATAGATGATGGGTAATAACATTTACTGGCAGCTAATTCAAAACACCAATATGTAAGTTTTTCTGTTCTCCTATCCTGTAAAAATACTATATGAAAGTAATATAGTGTTTTTGTAATACAATAATGGCATGAATTTTCTTGTGCAAACTTTTTCAGGTTTTGGAAATGCAGAGTGGACTGTGAAGGAGATGGAACCCCCAACTTTGTGTGGGTGGAGTGGGAGATGACACTGAACAAGTCATCCAGTGTCATTCAGGTTCCTGGTAAACAGCATTTGCATTAAGTTTTAAAAACAGTTCATGCTATCTGAGGTGCTCAGCATTGAGATGCACCCCATCGCCTTCTTGCTTTAGCATTCATTCGTCTATGAATCTTGGTGTTAAGGGCTGAATTCGATAAATCTCAAAATCTGAGCTTGGCTTTTTGTCATACAAGCTTATTTTCTCCGATCCTGTTATGGCACTTACACAATGCTTACGTAATGAACATGTATTTTATTCCGTATTGCATAATGTTTGTCGTACATGTCATTTAACAAATAGACGCAAAGGTTGGCTGTGTTTAACTATTTTTCTACAGTGAGGAAAAGAGGTGTTTTTCGTAAGTTTCACTAGATCTTCTTTGCTGAAAGAACTACTGCACTATGAAACATAAGACAGCCTAAAGCAGAAAGCAAAGCTGAACGATGTTTTAGGCTGGTTTGCATCATTGTTCTCCGAGTCGAAGCCGCATCCTCGGACTCGGGATGGCTTGTTAAACTGGCCACAAACAGATCAAAATGCCGATATCTGTGATAATTTTTCTAAGTGCACGTAGCGCCACATCTAGCAACGATCATGTTTGCTTTTCACTTACGACAATCACGCAGCTTCGTTGTGCGTTCAAAAATCAAGGCAATGGGGGAGAAAAAGCAAACTACAAAAAGAAGTTCTTTCCTTCGACGATGGATGGCACAGTCTGTTCGTGAATTGTGCAGAACGTCTCAAAAGCAGCAATTCAAATAGAATAATAGTGAGCTATCGATGCTCCATGGGTGCAGTACGTGAAGAGTCAAGGGTCTGATTGTTATGCATGGGTCTGCACTTGTATATCGCTGTGAACTTTGCATAATCATTCTAATTTCCATGTAATTTTGTAGAACAGCTCATCAGTTTGTACTTCACATTTTTCTTAACACTGACAAAGCAGTCATTAATGATCTTCCCTCTACACATGAGGTCTGGTGTGTTATTTTGCCTCCCCTCCCTCCCCATATTCTGGGCTTAGTCTTTTGTTCGTACTTATCTCTTTAGGCCAGCCCATTAGTGTCAGCTGTGCATACAGTGGAAGAGTGGCGTGTGCCTACAAGCGAGGCCACTCTTTCAACCGGCCTGGCTCCAACAACCCAGCTGATCGTTGTGTCAACCTGGGTGTTGCAATTACGAGTGTGAATCTACTGGTGGCTCTGAATGGATACTCGAAGACACAGTGCTTTTGAACAACATTGGGTAAGGGAGCCGCATCCGGGGCCTTCTCGATGTTTTTGGAGGTCATATTATGGCACTGACATGCCCTGATTCTCAGTTTGTTCTAACAAGGGCGTTGATAATGAGATATTATAGCCCAACTGTAATTGGCCTGCTGATTTCTTGTCTCATCCTTTTTAGCGATAAATTCCTTTTACATACTGGTGTTTGTTATGAACTCTCTATGCAAAGGTTGGTATTTAATATTTCAGTAAAACATTATTGCTGCATCACTGCAGTTCTTTTTTCTAAAACTGAAGCTAGCTTTTTTTTCTAAAACTGAAGAGTCGTAGCGATTATAACTGCCTATTTTAAAAGTAGGAAAAAAAAACTTGTAAGAGTATGAATAATGCACATTAGCAGGCACAGATATGGTTGAACCCTTTTTTAAGAGACACTGATGTAAGAGACAATTGGTAATAAAAGACACGTTTTCTCATCAACCAGGGTGATAAGAAAATGAGAACATAGTGCCCTGCTTATAAGAGGCACCTCATAAAAAGGGCAAGGATGGCTCCCTGGTGCATGTTTCTTACAAAGAGGTTCAACTGTATAGAAATCTATTGCCATATTTTGCTCGTTATGAGGCTTGTTGTTTTTCTCTCAAGGGAACGCTCAACGAACAATGAGAAGTGCCTAATGAAGCTGTGTACTGTAATGCATCTATTTATGCACACTTCAAGCATATCTATAAAGCTTATTTAGTGCAATATAACACAAAAGAAGTCACTATCATTTAATAATTTTAATTTACTGCTCATCTCTGCCAACTGCAGTAATCACTATTTGGCAATAGATTTTGGCAGCTACATAGCACGAAGGCATACAGACTGCCTTTTTTTTTTTAGTGTGCCTATAGATGCAATTCTAATTCACCCAATTAGCCATCTTTTTCTCTCGATAAAGTATAATGCTTTATTACCAGCCAGGTATTCTTTTTAAGGTTTGGTCATTTTCTGAACATGTGCAACATGAATCAACTTGCATTTGCGAAGAAGGTGGTCTTGAAGATGATGGTCTAACGATAGTGTTATTAAGCCCTACTGTTGACACCTGCAGTTGTAGTAGGTACTTATGTATTCCTTTTTTCTTCTCTTGCTCTTAGCCTTCCACGTCTAGATCAGACTGCTCCTGGTGTTGACCTTTGTTCCTTGGTGGACACAACTCTGCGGCATCGCAAGACTGCCGACTCGCTTGTACAACGCTTGGCCTCAGACGGGGACCTCAGTGGACCACCCAGCTCCCTGCAGCGGCTATTGTCAGTTCCTAGCTACGCCACGCTGCACACGCTGCGTAGGGCAGTGATTGAGCAGGGAAACCAGTGCCCCCTTGTGCACAAGTCGCTCATTCAGCTGGATTGGGTTTCCTCGGAGGACGGCTCGCACGTCCTCACTGTGGCCGTTGGCTCTCGTATCCTCCTCTTTGCACCCGTGGCAAAGGATGTCATCCAACAAGGTGGATCTGGCCTGGAACCTTCGGTGCGTATCGGTTCTGCAATTTTGCTAGTGTTTGTTGCACACTGTACTGTGTATTAATTAAAGATATCACCAGTTTTAGAAGTTCATATAAAAGGGCAGCTTGTATCAAGTTTTACTGTGATAGCAATTATATTGACAGTCTCAGATGATTTTTGGAGTCGCCGTCGCTGTCTTGTCCCGGAATGTATATGTATCTAAATGTACTCATATATGTAAAGAAGGCATAAAGAAGAATAAATCAGTAGAAAAAGATTTCTAAGCAACATATCGAAGATTTTTGTGCCGGTGGCATAATGGCAAGCTGTTCACAGGCACCATTTACTGCGATTTGCAGATCTCGGAACAGCTCTAGCGTATTTTCTGTCACCAGTGCTTTTGAATTTTCTTTCAAATTGAAAACAGCCCTTGAGACACACCATAAAGTGGCCCCCTTCCATGCCATTCGTGGCGTAAAATAGAAAGAAGAAAGTACAGGGGGCACACTTGGCTGCGAGATGCCACCTGCGTGGTAGAAGGCACAGAGGGGTCATTCCTAGGTGACGAAGTTTAAATAAATATAAACAGCATCGGATTCTGCATTGTGGACATTTGCAGCGCGTTCTGTGAATACAAACACCTAACAACTATGACAGTTGTCAGTTCACACTTGTCCTGTGTATACCTCTGCATTATTTTCGAGCACCCTTCTTTGTGCTGCAACGGCGGGGTGAATGTGTTGAGATGCTTGTCGTTCTTCGTGTGATATTCCAATTTTCTTGCTATTGCATTCATTTCTTCGTCCCTAGTGGCAAAACTGTGACTTTTTTTATTGCGCTGGAGCTTCACAGCAATGCAGGCCATAAACCACCAAGTTTTCGATAGTTTTAATTATAATTGTGTCCAGCAAAAACAAAAAAAAAAAATGAGCCCTTAAATTTTCATTTATTCCCTTCAAGTTCTCCAATGCAATGTAGTATAGCTTCATAGTAATGCATGTCATATAGGCGCACATTATGGTAAGCTGTTAAAGTGCATTGGGAATAGCCAAGATTGTTGCTGATGGCTGACATGCAGCTCTTCTGCAATGCTTTGTTGCTTCGTTGTCTTTCTCATTCTTCGCATTGCCTCTAATTGGTGTAGCCTTAAGCTGCCTCACTGCATGAAACAATTCGCACAAAGGGGGCATGTATGCATGTGCATAAAGAAAATTCAATCAGAGGAGGGTAAAATTTCCACCTCACACACTCGCGCCCCACCACAATGACGCACATTTGCTTCCTTTTCACATGTAGCTCTTCTGGTGATAGTATACAACATTAGGATGTGGCAATAAAAACTATTTTTGTTATTTATGGAGATAAAGTGATAAAATTTGGCATGCAGATGTCATTTGTTGTTTTGATATCATAACTGAAATCGGTGTTGAGCTATATAATTTAGTTTCTGAGTTACAGCACTTGATAGACTCATTGTCATCCCCAAATTAATTAATTAGGCATAAGATAATCAAAATTTTTGCACGAAGATGTTCACGAGAGTCCATTCCGTGCCATAATGCTGTTGGTTTATTTTTAGGGACGGAGCACCTTAGGCTGTGGGCCTTTCCCTCCTTTGCAGTAGTAGTAGTATGTAGGCACCTCCAGTTAATGAGTTCGTCAACAGATAACTAGTTCATGTTAGTGGTTTTCACAGCATATCCACGGAGTGAATGATGATGAGGGGGCGAAGCGTTTGTCCATCTGTTCGTGCTTCCGTCCACCCATGCCTCCATCCATCCATGTGTTCGTACATCCCTGCATCCATTCATGCTTCCATCTCTCCGTGCATCTGCGCTTCTGTCCGTATGTCTGTGCTTCCGTCTGTCCATGCGTCCGTCTGTCTGTTCGTGCTTCGTGTACCATAGAGTTCACATACTACAAATGACAAAAAAAATTCACAAAAAAAAGTCTGTGGTTCAACACTACGAGGTACTTTCTACACCGTTACATATCACGCAAATGAACCACAGAGGCATTTTTTGTCTGTCCGTCCGTGCCTCTGTCCGTTTGTCCGTCTGGACGCACGCATGCATGCACAGACGAATGCACGGACGAATAAAGACAGGGAATGGACAGACACTTTGCCCCACTCATCATCATTCACTTCGTGGATACGCTGTGATTTTAGCCACATCCTCCCTTAATATAATACAAGCAGATTACCACAGATCTTTACAGCATATCGCTTCTTTTTGAAAATTTACAGTCCCTGACCTCTGGTGCACCACGGCCCCTGCTGAAGCAAGTATCCTCGCTGGCTGCACCCGTCGCATCTACAGGGGCAGCTGAAGCAGTGCGCTGGCTTCAGATCAGGTGCACACGTCTGGAGACAGCCGATGGCCTACCTCCCCTGCCAATGCAACTGTCCTGGGTTCGTGATGGCATTCTTGTCGTCGGTATGGACAGTGAAATGCACATCTACTCTCAGTGGAGGCCTCAGAAGGGATCTCCGAAGGGTAAGCATGAATTCCCTCCTGTTTATATAAAGATGAAAACTCAAAGAATATGTTATCTTATGTCTTAGTATGCTTTTTGAGTGTGTGAATTTGTCTGAGTTGGCTTAGTTTTGTAGTTTTGGTCCTTCACTAGATGACCTTGTATTAGTAACTGGCCTCTGTTTATAGATCTTCCCAAATCTTCTTGAAAAAAAATTTTCTCCTTATCTCAAATATACAATATGCTTATATAATGCTCCTTCGCATAACTTCCGCTGAGGAGTTTTTTGATAAGCACTTTTACACGGAATTGTTTTCTAAAAGGCACTGAGATGGCGTGCTATGAATTTTTTGTTAAGAAAATACTGAACAACATTGCTAGAGGTTTGGAGTCACTTCATTAGAGAAAGGGGGACGCACAGTTTTTCACTTCGTGTAGTGCTATGTCGAGAAGCATTTTCAAATATAAAACTAGGACAGAGGAAGGTCGACAGAGGAAACTTGAAGGGACAGTAAAGTCAAATAACAATTTACGTCAAAGTGAAAGCTCAATGTATGACAACATCTAAAACGAAAATATTATCAACAACAGTGCCCTATTTACCGAGAAATTAAGATAAATGCACAAGAACACAAGCGCCGCCATAAGACATTTTCAAAATTATCCCGATGACATCAGATGGACCGCCTACACTTAATCGCTAGTAATCGAACCTTCCGTACTTCAAGAGCCGCAATAAAATGCTGCTCGTTCGTTTCTGTTTGAATCATGAAAAAAAAAAACTGCCGGACGTTAATATGGGAATAATATGGAATGGCACGAGTGTTCCGAAAGTTCAATGGACCATATGCGAAATTGCTTTGTGCTCTAGCAACACTGTGCATTTTGACCCCGCCGCCATTTTAATGTGGGGGAGCGGTCGACGGCAACGCGTTCGCTAGTACGGCCGTACGACTCCAACACTTGCTTCACTGCGCTGAGCTACTGCGATGGCCACAGCAAGACGTTTCCCAGTGCCCGAACATGTGATGTGGACAAACTGTTTAGGATTCTTGCCACATCTTGCCCCTTGTATGTCATTGCATCTTTCGAAAAGCGATGGAAGGATACCTACAAGATATAAGCAAACAAACATTCAGTGCAACGTCATGAGCTAGGTTTCTCTTAGCTGTTTAAACGATTGTTGTTTGCAAACACAGGCACTATCATAAATTCATCTCACAGGGAATAGAGGTCACACTTATATGTGCATTGCAGGACTAAGGATGCACTTGTAATGTGACCCCCTCCCCCTCATTTTTTTCTGTGCACACTCCCGTTTCCTAGCAGCCTTTCCTAGATATGGCCCTTCACAGCAAGCCTTAAGAGGCATCAGTCACTTTTGGACACTCGGGGGAATTTAAATCAGTTATTTTTTTTATCTAAGTAGCTTCAAAGGTTTCTTGGAGCTGCGAGTGTAAGGCAGCCAAAATGCTTAATCCCATACATCTAAGTTATGGCTGTCTCCACAGCTGTATGTTTTATAATGCAACATGAAACATTTTTCAAGTGAGGTGAGTTGCAACACAAAAAAAAAACAGCTGCAATGCAACTGAGCCAAAGAGACTAAAATGCAGAGAATGAATCTCGTCTTACGAATAAATAGGACTGCCGCGCTCTGAACTCATGCAGAACGTCATTCATTCAAGCCCTGGCGATACTCACGGTGCCAGTTTTCGAAACCTACAGCAGTGCGCCTTGCTATCTTTTCGATTTTATTTCGTTGGTAAAGGAAAATTAGTGAGAGAGGCCCAATGGAAAAGTTGCGTCCGCGCACGTTGGGGGAATTGAAGTTAAGTGCCTGAGCAGATACTTTTCTGTTCCAAAGTGGGCATAGCCCTTACCTTCCGAATGACTGTTTTATTGCTGCGCGGTGACCGTACTTGCGGACATAATGGAGCTTGAACCCGGACAAGCAACCAAGCTGCCTTTCTAGGATGCGTGTACGGCATGTTACTCGGAGTAGCGGAAGCTCTGCACGTCTCTGTGCGCAATCACCTTCAAAAATAACATTTCTACGTCGTCTACCTACATGGTGTAATCTCGTCACAAAAAAGCCCGTCCTAACAATTCGGTTCTGTCGCACTAGTTACCCCACCAGCAGTGGCGGACTCTCTATTTGACTGCAGAGAATCACCGGGCCCTTCGATTTACCATCTCAGACTCACCGCGGATAGTCCGCGGGTAGTCCGAGGCTTCCCTGAAGTCATAAGAAAATTTTAATGCCGCACAGCTTCTCAGCAAGTTCGGGACGGTAAATCGAAGAGTACCACTGTCGTGTAGAGGCCCGACGTAGTGAAAACTCCTAGCCGCAAAGCTGACAAACCTATAAAAACACGGCCTGTCCGCGTAACACAGAAAAATGGTTAGTCCTGCATTGCTCTCGTGCAGCCCGCGCACCGCGGAGATACATGCATCCTAGACTGTGCCCATAAAGCTTGTGCACGCCATACCCTGTTTTGCGTTTAAATGATCGCTGCAAAATCGTAATTCATGCCACTTACCTTGCTCCCATCGCTGTCTGTGACTCCGCGCTGCTTGCACAGCGGCACACAGCAGTGTACTGGCATTTCGCCAGCAAAAAAATGTGACTGCGCCAGTCGAAGCGTTAAAATGCGTACGTTCGCATGTGGGTCGCCCGCGCGTAGTGGTCAAGCCTCGCCAGCATCAAAATGGCGAATGTGGTACCTGCTGCGTTCACTAGATGGCGCTGTTAATTTCGCATATTGCCTATTTTACACGAGACAGGTGGTGCCATCTAGCGGGGTGCAGTTGAAAAAAAAAAAAAAAAACATCTGCAATTTCGAAGCCAATGGCGGGAAATTTATTAATGGCCGTTGTTGCTGCTGTGGCTCCTGCTGCTTTCGGTCTGCTGCTACTAGTGCAGTAAAACCGGGCAACGTTGTGCACAGGCAACAGTGACGTGAGTCTGTCTGGTCGGTCCGCTTCTTGAGGTGGGTAATTTGAAGTGCGTTAACCCGATGCAGACCACTAAAATGTGATTTTATTTCAAAATAGGCCCTTTCTTGGCACAAAAGTAACACTACGAAGGTTTCCGGACTGCTATTTAAACAATCAACGTCAACTTAATAGTTCCTTTAGTGTCCCTTAAAGGAAGCTCATTCATTTTGTATAAGCTCTAGGAATAACTCCTTGAAGTATGGCTCATAAGTGTATGTTGCAGAGTTGAAACTCCCTTGACAAGAATGGAACAGAAACTCATACCAAAAATAAAGCATGTAAAAACATGCCAAAATGGCATTCATTGCTCCTTGTGCACAACAATGCCAGCTAGCAGAAATATCTTTTTTTTTTTTCTGTGCATGCTGGCACCACACTTTGATCTTAACTAAAAGCCTTTCATATGTAAAATCGAGCATAATATACTGACGAGCAGATTCGTGACTATTTCTGGCTGCATCCAGCAACATCTTTCAACCAGAGAGGAAGAAAGTTTCTTTCAAGCTCAATTTATGAACAGCATCCTGATAACGTTAGAATTGAAGCACTCTCCCCATATTTTTTTTTCATAGTGATGTGATTGTCACTGGCTTCTGCACATGTGACAAAACCACATGTTGGGACATGCAAAGGTTGCATAAGAAGGAAAAGCATTCAGAAACGTATGACATCAGGCGTCTTCACTACACAGAATACTGTCATGGGGGTTGTAACGTGTACGAAGAAGCAGACTGTAATTACAAGATGAAACTGTTTATTCGGCCGAACTTGTGGCCCGTAAACTGGGGGTCAGATTCAGCGATGCCCACTGGCACTGATAGGGGCGAACAGAGCATCGGCTGTCGATCAGCTGTTAAGTGGTGAGGTGCGTCGGCATTTATACACGTGCCATCTAACCACAAAGCCCGCGAGGCGGCTGAGGAGCTTGGCATCTCAGTTCCCACGTGGGAGCTGCCCGCAACACAGTGATCCGTGTTTTGGAGGACCAAATAAAAGTTTATCCAATCCAATCCAATCCAACATTCTAGCGTTATCGTTAGGGGTGACATAGGTTCTAGAATAACCTGCAATGTTCGCAAAGTGAGTGTAATCTTAACAAAGTGATCTACTGCAGTGCTGAAGCTTTTCGAACACTGCCGGCCCAGTTTACGCTATGAATCACTGACAGTGAAACGGGGTGATAACAAAACTTGAGAAGGGATTGTGGCAATATCAATGCAGCTGATCATAGTCTTAGGATGCCTAATAATGTGGAGATCACACATGTCTGCCTGTCATTTTTCATCGCACGGTGAGGTCTTCAATGGTCAATAACTAGTTGGTTACAAACTTGGCAAAAAAAAAAACAGCTTCGCCCTCAGCCACTGCCATCTCACACAAAGAAATTTGCATAGGTGCTCCAACTAATTGCATTCACACATTTTCATGACATCAAGCATCTTAATGCGCTTAATATGATAATCAAGTTTTCTCATTGATTGCTTGAAATATTAGCGCGTAACGTAGACAAGGACAACTAAGACACAGAAAGGGGTTAGTTGTCTTAGTTGTCCTTGCCTATGTTATATGCTCGTATTTCAAGCAATCATGAATCATCAACTCGCTAAATCAGTCATTTTGCCATTGAGATATTTATTTGTATCACATTACTGGTTTTAAACAGAAAACTATGAATGTTTTGGAAAATTCCATCAGATGGTTTGCAAGTTGGTACGCATCAGATCAGTACTCATTGCATATCGGTACTCAGCCAAAAAAAATGCTTGCATTCGGTTAAGAGACGAACACTTATCTTCTTCGTTAAACAAGGTACTGCACAAAAGAAATGTGGATGAAAACAGAATGAAGACGGGCACATATGCTTGACTGGACTTTATTCAAAAGTAATTGCATATTCATACCATATAAACTGCAAATTCATCTACGTGCATGCAAGAAACCTGCTTTCGATTTGATACAATCCTTGCTGATATTTCACAGACTCAAACATCTTCGTCTTCAGGATGAAAAATGCCTCGGCAAGCTCACATGCCAACTGGTCACGACTAGTGGGCAGGTGCAACATGGTTTTGTGGTTGAAGCACATAGATATTCTTACTTTGTTACTGACTATCATTTATTGCTCCAAATGCATGACCACGAAAGGACGCACACACATAGACAAAACAAGCACTGCCTTATCTGCATCATCTAGCTGAACAAGATGTCCTATCATGCACCTCATTCCAGGTCTAAAGAACAACCTCATGCCCTCGGCAGCAGAAGACGAGAACATCTGCAAGGTTCGCATGTTGCCGGAGGAAGAGCTGCTCAGCAGGGTTCAGGAGCTGTCGCAGTTGCGGCTCGGGGCCGGCCCATCTCTTGGGCTGGCACGCAATGCTTCATCTTCATCTGCCCAAGCTATGGACAAGAAAAAAATGCGTGGCGAGACAGCGGTGCCTGCTGTCTCCCGTGGAGCAGCAGCTGCAAAGTAAGACAATTCTCCCACTCTTCTGAAAAGTGCTTGCGTGTGTGTGGCCGAATTACTGTCCCAGAACACTGTTTGGGCTGGGATGTCATTCATTAAGAAATATAGTTGTTTAGTGGCAGAGAAGATTAAGCACAGAACTTTTACCATGCTTCGAAGTGGCAATGCACACGTGGCTAATATTCCTAGCACCAGTGGCTCTTGTCATTATTATTAGCACTCAAATTCCTAGTAAGGGCTTCAGTGTACTGCAGACTTGTACGTATGTTTTGGCAGGGAGTCAGAGACAACGGTCGTGGGTCCAATGCCTGACCTGGGCCTGTTTGAGACTTGCCGGCTGGCTTGGCCGATGCTTCCTCAGTATCATCCAAAGCAGCTCATGGAGCTCTTGGGCTTTGGGAAGATTCGGAGAGTCAAGGCCATCCTTAGCCACCTGGTGCGCTGCGTCTCCAAGTCGGGACAGGTGCTGTACAATGTTCCATGCCTAGTCTGGCACAATACTCAAGCTTTGTTGTCAAAAAATAACAAATATACCACTATGTTTCTCTAATGGTACATATTTCGGTGGTACACTGTAATAATGCTGTCTTATCTCCACCTGCCTTATAGTAATAATGTGAGTGTTTCTACAACCCTACTTCCAGAGAATTAGGCATATATACTCCTGTCATTTAAACTTTGCTTTTATCAAGATCCCTCTACAAGTAGAGCCACACTTGGAGCTAGTACAGTGTGCTCACTTTTGTATTGTCATACACTTGAAAACACTAACAGCAATGCAGTGATGACGTCATAGCCAATAGTTGATTCAGTTACTGGAGACATCGTATTCTACATCACGCAAAGCAACACTTTCTCGAAAAGTGACCGTCTCGGAGTGCAGCCCTTGTTGTGCTTGAGGCCACATTGTCGTTTGGTCTTTACATCTGCTTGCTTCATTGAAGCGACCTTTGTTTCGCTATTGGACATGCTACAAAAGTGGACCTACTTCTCCGAGGAGCTAGTTTGGCATTGTTACACATCGCACACCTGCCACGATCGTTACGCATCGCACACCTACCAACTCTCCCGATTTGCCCAGACTCTTGAATTTTAGGCAATCTCCCTGATTTAATGAGCACAGCCATAAGCCTTTCACTAAAAAGACCCTTGTCCACCAAAAAGAAAATGATAAGTACAGTAAAACCTCGTTAATTAGAAGTTACTGGGAAAGCGAGAAATCTTCGAAGTAAGTGGGTTTTCGCATTAACAGAACATTCAAAAAGTGGGATGAAAGGAGTTCAGAACTGTTCAAAGTAATCAGTGCTCGTCATTTGCTGTGCCGGCTAGCTAGCGGCTCCAAGGGTTATGTTTTCCAGCAACACCTGGTCTTCATTTCGCCGCAAACACGGGGAAACGGTAGGCCTCGCTGCTGCCACTGAGGGAAAAAAAAAAACGCTGTCGTGACTAACTAAAATGCGCGCCTGCGGAAAACAAGACATCTTCACTGCAATACAGTAGAGACACGCGGGCAGCATGTTGCTTGCACCTCGCTGCGTCGGCACGTCATGATGCGACCATTCGCACATTTTTTTCTGGTATAATTAGGAATTTAATAATGGCCAGCATGACGAAACTCGCGATGTGTTCTGGCTGGGAAAAATTATCTTTGAAGCTTTCGAACTTAGTTTGTGAAGTAGTTGTTGCTGGCACGAACTCCGCCATCAGTGCAAACGTGCGAATTGCTGGAGAAACTGGTAATCGGAAGTTCGCATACATTGTGAATTTCGCCAAACTGTCCTTTATTAATTTTTTTACGATCACAGAAAGAATGAGTGAACCATGACCCGCTGACATTGCTAGAAACGCGTCCAATTTTTTCGCAGGCACACGTGTTGGTTGACCACTAGACCGTTTCTTTTTTTGTTGTTGTTGTTGTTTTTTCTTTAGCTGGAAGTAGCGAGACTTGGGGGCTTCAGCTACCACTCACTAGTATCGCTACGTTGCATTGCTTTGTGGCTATTAAGGGCCGTCGTTTCGGCGTATTTGCGGCGAAACCGGGATATGAAACTGGCACATTGCACCCAGAATTTTCTAATGAAACGGACTGGTGCCAGCCGCCGCTTCAAATCATCCACTGAGACTTGCATAGCAAAATACTGGACCGCGAAATCTTTCGAATTAAGCGGGATTTTGAAATACCCGAGTTTGAATTAACGAGGTTTTATTGTACAAAGCACATTGGTTCAAAAGTTTTCTAGGCTTTGATCATCGCACGCAGGATGCTTCTCAAGTTTCTTTTGCTGCTTTACACTCGTGTCATGCAGAAGAACGTACCAAAACTTGGAAGACTGGAAGGGGCTACTAACTCTTAAAGACCAGCATGTTTTAACCCTTAATTACACTCGTATCCACGTGCCTTATTACTACAGGTACCAGTACAATCACTGACGTCGAAAAACTGCAGGAAATAATTCACAGCTTCCTGTGACGTTGCTATGACCCTGGGACACAATAAATAGAGAATTGCGCACCAGTTTTCTTACGTTGCACACGTGGCATGCTACAAGAAGTAGCATATTGATTTGGAATACTAGCCTTTCATGTCTTTTGGTATTATGAACTTTGGCAGACACAAATATTTCTCATGGACTGGCAAAATTTCTACTAGGATATGTCAAACATAATTTAATTGACACGAGTGCTCATGTGCCGTTCACTTCTGCATCATTTTGCTTCTCATCCACACACAGTTTCAAAGTATACATGGAAAACACTAGGAGGGCAACTAAAGTAGTTAGGCCTGTTTGAACTAACTGGCAATGGGACTATCGGTTAATTGTAAGATTCAACTGATGTTGCGAATGATATTTAGATATTTTTTTTCACTAACTGATATTGCAATCTTATTGATATACTCAAGCAAACAAAGCACCTGCTGGCTTAACTGGAAAGGTGCCAACCAGCAGGAAGTTTGTGAGCACCTCTGTGGCAAAAGAAATAATGAGCACTGTCGCACCATAGTTGCATGATGTCGCTATTGCAAGCTAATGTTGTGAATGACAGTGACGCAATGTTGGCTTGCCAACTCACTCATTCGCATTTCAGTTAACATGAATTGACAGTGCTATTTTATTGGTCTTCTCTTCTGTTGAACAGCCCCCTAAGCTTACCCAGAGGTCGATATTTAGTTGTGTTGTTATGGTGCATTTGAGCACGATTTTACAACGAACGTGTAGTAGTGAGGATTGTTTTTATAAGGTTTCTTAACGTCCTAGTTACATCCGTTGGATGATCAAAATGCAGCCCTTGCTTTTTCGCTCTTTCCTTCACTGTGCTTCGTTAATTTGCTTGTCTCTCCTCCTGGCTGAGTGTTCCTGCATGCATGGTGAGAAGTAAAAGCAGGGAGGTGCACGTTTTGCAGGCAGACAAACAGGTTGTTGCTGCTGCTGCTGATGACGACTTGACCAGATTTATCTGGTGACGTTGCAACCAATGCTGGGGACACCGAAAGGCTGCAAGAGAAGCACGGAATTGGCTTTTTTTTTTTTGTTCTGTCTGCAGGGGTGGCCAGGACTTTTTTTTACTGGGGAGGGGAACCCACAACAAGTGAGGTCCTTCAAGGTGCAGAGAGGCTGGGAACATATGCGTTGTGTTTTGATTATGCTTGCTCTTAGTTTAGGGAAGGGGGCAGGCAGTAACTTGAAGGAGGGGGGAATCCAGTCCCCACCATATTCCCCACTGGCACAGCCCCTGCATGTGTGGGATACATGGAACTGCTTATTTTGGCACTGTTGATCGTGGTGGCAGCCCAAACTTGATGCGCTTGTTAACTTCAACTGTTGAACAATACTTTATAGTTTAGGGGCCCTTTAAGAGAACTTTTGTGTATCCCTAACGTGCAGGCACCTGGAGGCATCGTTGCTGGTGGCAATGCAGCAGAGATGGCGTCCGAAGGGGCCCCTGAAGAGGAAGGTGGCGAGGAGGGAGTACGAGGTTGGTCTCGCTCACGCACGCTATCCCTGGCAGCTCCTGCGGCTGGATCGGCAACGCACAGCCCCCGAGAGGGCGGCAACATTGTCCCCGAAGAACTGCAGCTGGACTACGTGGAGATCCAGTCCATCCCGCCATTGCCGCTGTATGCGCTCCTGGCTGCCGACAAGCAGCTGGCACCAGGGGGAGCAGCCAGCCGCAAGGAGGCTTCACCTAGCTGTGCAGGAGCAGATGCCGGTCAGGCAGGCATCAAGGAAGAGCAGGTGAGCGTTGCCTATTTTACATTCATCAGATTAGAAGCCATGACATTGTAGTAGATATGGATCACAGTAGTTGTTTGCAGCTCCAAATCTGTCTCGGCAGTGGCCATGTAATGAAGATGGGCCACATAAAGCCCATAGCTAGGAATGTTTTTTGGGAGGGGGATGCAGTTTGCTGAAGGCCTTGAATATTTGATTTGAATGGAGCACCAACTTAAAAAAAAAAAAATGTGTGTGTTTGGGGGGGGGGCATGTGCTTTCCTTTCGCTGTCTGCAGGCATGGGCTACACAGAAGGCAGCCCCACCGTGGTGGTCTAGTGGCTAAGGTACTCTGCTGCTGACCCGAAGGTCGCGGGATCAAATCCCAGCTGCGGCGGCTGCATTTTCGATGGAGGCGGAAATGTTGTAGGCCCGTGTGCTCAGATTTGGGTGCACGTTAAAGAACCCCAGGTGGTCGAAATTTCCGGAGCCCTCCACTACGGCGTCTCTCATAATCATATGGTGGTTTTGGGATGTTAAACCCCACATATCATATCAGCCACACAGAAGGCAAGTTATAGATACTGTGTATGGAAGCTTTTCATGCCGTTCTTTGTTCTTGGGCCATTTCATGCGGCCCTATATTCGTGGTACAAAGTGGTCTGGCTAGCTTTGTTTGACGTAGCCTTACGTTTCCCATGCTTTGACGTTAGAACGTTGTGTTCAAAATTACTTTGATATGAAGAGTTATTTTTGATTTACCTTAGTGAGACACGGCCGCCTTTGACTGTAATAGTAGGTTTTGAATTGGTGGAAGTTAACTGTATTTTGTGCTAATGTAGCAACTCTGTTCGATTCACCTTCTTTTGTTTTGCAGGAAGACTATAGTGCCTTGTTTGAGACAGCTCCCAAGAAAGAAGAATCTCTGGACGACATCCTTCAGGAAGATGTGCAGCCCAAAGCCAAAAAGACTCGAGATCGACAAAAGACGGTCGCCGATAAAGACCCCAATCACTTTGGAATGCGCCAGGTTGGTGACATTGTGATTGCGACAATGCACAACCAGAAAATCCGTTGATAAAGTACATGCAAACCTTTGTATAATGAGCACAGATATAATTAATTATTGGTTATAATGAAGTAAATGGTGAATAGCTTTGTTAGAGAATGCAGTGGTTTGAATATAAGCTTGTCATGAAGGTTTTGACATAGCAAAGTTTTTTTTTTATGTCAGTGGTAATTGTGCTACAACCAGGCTTAAACATTCTTATTTTGGCACTTTTACTGCAGGCAGTACTCCAGAAAATATTAACGCTCTTAGTTACAGAACACATATTGTCTGATAGCAGTAGATGCCACATTGGCTTATGTTTTTTTTTGCACTGTCGAACCTAAATACAATTTATCTCTATCTAACTAAATCTACAGCGTAGGAAATTTTTCATTTTGTCATCTTGAATTCATGAGACACCATGAGTTTTTCTCTTTTAATGTCTTGCTTTAGCACTTTTAGAAATACCTGAAATTTCACTACACTCTAGCAAGTGAATGAAGTGACAGCCTTGTTATTGTCAACCCATGTTGATGGCTACGGTGCGCATATGCATATTGACCGTGTGTTGGCAGTTCTTGCAGTAGGAGGAGTTCATATGAAAAGTTTGCTCTTTGTACAGCACACACCAGTGCTTTATATTGTATGTAATCATTGGTCGAGATTTTATATTTTTGGGATTTCGGTTACGAACAGTGACTGATGAAATGCTATCCATCAGGACTGTTCCGGAAGGCTTTGAAGCAACGTTTTCTTTGAAATGAATAACCTCTGCTAAAAGGAATTTTTACAGCTAATGACTACGATCATCACTAAAATTTGTACCACTATAGCCATTGATAAGCATAGTCGTGAGAAATCGTCCTTTGTTGAATATTACTGTGAATCTGTGTGTAATGATAGAAGCAGCTCAGAAAAGCCTTGTAGAGCGTGCAAAGAGGTAAAGCTGCTGGTGAGGACCAGGTAACATCAGATCTGCTGAAAGTTGGAGAACAGATTGTGTTAGAAAAACTAGCCACCCTGTTTACGAGGTGCCTCCGGGGAGAGTACCAGAGTCTTGGAAGAATGCTAACATCATCCCAATACATAAAAAAGGAGATGACAAGGACTTGAAGAATTACAGGCCGATCAGCTTGCTCTCTGTAGTATACAAGCTATTTACAAAGGTAATTGCTAACAGAGTAAAGAAAACATTAGAATTCAATCAACCAAAGGAACAAGCAGGATTTCGAACAGGCTACTCTACAATTGACCACATTCATACTATCAATCAGGTAATAGAGAAATGCTCAGAGTATAACCAACCACTATACATAGCCTTCATAGATTACGAGAAGGCGTTTGATTCAGTAGAAATATCAGCCGTCATGCAGACACTGCGGAATCAGGGCGTTGATGAAGTATATATGAACATCCTGGAAGAAATCTACAGGGGATCAACTGCTATCATATTGCTTCATAAAGAAAGCAACAGAATACCAATCAAGAAGGGTGTAAAGCAGGGGGATAGAATCTCCCCAATGCTATTTACCGCGTGCTTACAGGAGGTTTTCAGGGGCCTAGAATGGTAACAGTTGGAGGTAAGAGTTAACGGAGTACCTTAGTAACCTGCGCTTTGCCGATGACATTGCATTGCTGAGTAACTCAGGGGACGAATTGCAACTCATGATTACGGAGTTAGACAAGGAGAGCAGAAAGGTGGGTCTTAAAATGAATCTGCAGAAAACGAAAGTTATGTACAACAACCTCGGAAGAGAGCGGCACTTTGAGATAGGTAATAGTGCAGTTCAAGTTGTAAAAGGCTATGTCTATTTAGGGCAGGTAATAACCGTGAAGCCGAACCACGAGATGAAAGTAACTAGAAGAATAAGAATGGGGTGAAGCACATTTGGCAAGCACTCTCAGATCATGACAGGTAGTTTGCCACTATCCCTCAAGAGGAAGGTATATAACAGCTGCATCTTGCCGGTACTTAGCTATGGAGCAGAAACCTGGAGACTTGCAAAGAGGGTTAAGCTTAAATTAAGGACGACGCAGCGAGCAATGGAGAGAAGAATGGTAGGTGTAACCTTAAGAGACAAGAAGAGAGCAGAGTAGATTAGGGAACAAATGGGGGTTAAGGATATCGTAGTTAAAATCAAGAAGAAATGGACATGGGCAGGGCATGTAGTGCGTAGACAGGATAACCGCTGGTCATTAAGGGTAACTAACTGGATTCCCAGAGAAGGCAAGTGGGTTAGGGGGAGACAGAAGGTTAAGTGGCCAGATGAGATTAAGAAGTTTGCGGGTATAAATTGGCAGCAGCAAGCACAGGATCGAGTTGACTGGCGGAACATGGGAGAGGCCTTTGTCCTGCAGTGGACGTAGTCAGGCTGATGATGATGATGATGACTGTGAAACTTGGTACACTCCTTAATATTCTTGGCAAAGAATGGGCTTGTAAAGTTTTATTCGGAGTAAATCTCAACTCTACTAACTGTTGTGGTGGCTCAGTGGTTAATGACGCTCGGCTGCTGACCTCAAAAAGATGCTGTTTCGATCGCGACTTCGGGCAGTTGCATTTCAGTTGAGGTAAAAATGCTAGAAGCTCGTGTACTGTGCGATGTTTGTGCAGATCAAATAATTTCAGCTGGCCGAAATAGCCTTGAGCTCTCCAGTACGCATAGCTCAGGTTTTTTGAGATGTGAAAGCAGATGAACAAATGAACCATTGGTCTGGTCAACTCTTAACATTCTGTTGCATTCTTAAACTCATTTTATGCACCCTATTTTATCAATCAGGGCTACTTTGTGAACAATGTTAACATGCCATACAGTGCACGTGCTGAGGCCTTGACAGGTGAAAACTGTGACTTGTAGCTTTAGTCACTGTTAGTGCAAATTCTTTCTCCCAGCCAACACATTATATAATGTGCTTATAGCCGTACTGTTGGAAAGTGCTGCTGCAACTGATCTCTAACTTGAACTTGCTAGATTCACTACACTTGCCGCAGAATATTGTGGCTTAACTGCAGAGAGATTGCAGCATGCCCCGTCGTGGTGGTCTAGTGGCCAAGGTACTCGTCTGCTGACCCGCAGGTCGCAGGTTCGAATCCTGGCTGCGGCGGCTGCATTTTCGATGGAGGCGGAAATGTTGTAGGCCCGTGTGCTTAGATTGGAGTGCACGTTCAAGAACCCCAGGTGGTCGAAATTTCTGGAGCGCTCCACTACGGCGTCTCTCATAATCATATAGTGGTTTTGGGATGTTAAACCCCACACATCAAATCAGAGATTGCAGCATGATACTGTGTGAAATTAGTAGCATGTATAATTGCAAAAGGACAATTTTTAATGCGGCACAACTTCGCTCATCGACCCTCTAGGCTCGTCTGCTGACACAACTGCTCACGCACTGCCACTTGCCCGGTCTATCCAGTGTAGACCAGATGCATCTTCTGGCGCTAGCTGATACACTGGCCTCCTTCCATGGGACACTCGCTGATCGCCTTGACAGCGAAATTGTGCACAGTAAGTTCTTCGCACATGCCTGCTTTATCGACCTCTTGTGCACAAAGGGCTGTTGCTGTGAATAGTTTAGATAAATCATTAACATGTTAAAGTTTCTTTTTTTATGTGCCTACTCATACAGCTTCTTTGAAGAAGTGTGTGCTGTAAAATTTTGAACAAGAACGCTCACCTGAGCGAGCTGCCTCCTCTGATTTCACTGCCAATTTCAAGTTTCTGTGCTGTGCTGTTCTGAAAAATCTCTCTCCACCTCCCCCCTCGTGCTTTGCAACCTGACTGCGCACCACATCCTGGCCCAATCTCATAGCCTCTGCACCTGAATTTGTCCCTGAAGTTCAATTATTCTTTCTTTCCCGCTTCATAATTGCCCTCAGAACAGAGTGCACAACACCTCTAAAGATTTTCAAGTTCCCGCTAGCTAAAGCAGGCCTTTGAGATCTCTACTTTGAATTTGATGATGGTTTCTGATACGCTACCAGAGGCCTTCATGATCTGCGTCTGTTGCCTAAGGTAGTAGTACGTTTGTCGCAGGCTCATTGGAGTTGCTTCCATGCCCATGCTTACCTGAGTTCGACCGGGTTGCTTTTGTGTTTCTTGTGTTTTTGATTGTTAAAATGTACTTTGCCGTGAATGAGAGACAGGAGACTTCTAAGCAATCTAAGTGCACTTTTAATGACTTTTCTGTGACCAACTGGAGTTTCAGAGTCATTCTGGAAAAGTGCTTCCTTCCTACTTTTGAGTTTAGGGGAGGGGGGGATGCTTGCTCTTGACTTTATTGTATTCAGTGTAATTTTCCATCTGAATGTGAAATGGTTATTTTGTGTTCTCTGTCTCTGAAGGATTTGCTTGAAACTGTTTGTACCTATATGGCCCTGATAAATCTTTTCAGGCTAACATGATCTCTTTGTTTGCTCTTGATAGTCTAGATATTATACACCAGCAGTGCTTTCCTATGTGTATTGGTCATCAATACTTTAATATAAAGGTGTAGCTTATGTTTCAATCACCATTGCCAGCGGTGCATTATCATCACTCTTACTATGGCAGCGCCACTTGGCTCAAGCAGCTTATAGACCCATTTATAGATAACGAGTTTTTGCAAGGGTGCAGCCATCTCGACAGCACGTACTGCAGCTGAAGCAACATGCATTTGCCAAAGCTGTTTCTTAGTTTATATAAACATCATATTGTGCGTTAAGCTCCATACAACATGCATTAATCATAGTCATAGCATCAAAGATCATTTTTAGAGGAACTCTGAAGTGAAACAACAAATCAGTTTACCGTATTTACTCGCATAATCCTCGCCCTTTTTTTGACGAAAAACCGATGCAAAGTTGAGGGGTGCGAGAATTACGCGGGGAAAACTTACGGGGAAAGTCGTCGCAAATCGGGATTCTCACACCAGCAACTAACAGCAAGCTTTGAGAAGCACTAATTAAAACTTACCTCAACAATAAAAGCACAGGTTCAACACAAGGCAAGTTTTATTTCAGACACAAAAAGTGCAAGGAAATAGTCGAGAATCAAAATACCAAACGCAAAGCTTGTGGGCGTTGGGGGCGTAGCGGTAACGTTTGTCGCGCAACAGGAGCCCTCAAAAGGTAAGCGTAGGACGTCAGTATTGGGTTAATGGCTATCTAACAAAATCGTCTGTGAAGAAATAGTTTACCATCAATCTGAGTTTCAGGCACACGGAAGGCCCAACGCGTCTTGGTGGCTTTCAGCTGCCGTCATCAGTAGGGAACACAAAACTCGTAGACTCCGAAGGGCCTACCGGAGGCCCTGTTGCCGTTTTTTAGTGCACAATCTATCACTTTCAGCTTGAGATTAGCCGTGTAGCTTCTGTATCGCCTCATAACGTGACAAGATTACCGACACAACATACAAAACACGCCGCAATGCGCACTTGCCACATTGGCTTGGCTTGGATTGAATTGAATCTCCGTGCAATAATAGAACGCTTGATGCATAAGAGATGGCGCCAGATGGTGTGTGCTATCATCATCAGTGAATTGAATGAGTGAATTGAATGAGTCAGTTTTTTGGGGGTGCGATAATTACTCGAGGAAAAAAAGAAATCATATTTTTGTTGGGCGATGTGGGGGGTGCGAGAATTATCAAGTGTGAGGATTACCCGAGTAAATACAGTATATTGATAAATTGTACTCTGCAAGCTTGGATGTCATTGATTTCATCATCTGTTTATTGGTAAAAAAAGAAGTTTCATTTTGAAATCTCATGCTGAAATCTCAGTGCGTGACGTCATAAATTTAAAACTGTATTTTTCATGTTTCGGTGACATTCATTTTACGAAACTTTCTGAAACTTACTATATTAAATACAGACAAACCTCGTTGAATGAAGTTTAAGGGGGAGTCATAATTACTTTGTTATAATCATTAGTTTGTTATAGCCAATATCCATTTCTATTGAAATAATTAGCCAGCTAGAGAAAATGTACACACCAATGAATATCACAGCAGCTCGCCGCGCAGAGAAAAACTGCCGTCGGAAGGCAAAAAATAGCAAAATAACAAAGAACAATGCACTTAATTTCCGCCATATTTAGCACACCAGCTGGCATAGTCCTTAATAGACTTTTGCCAACTCTATTTTGAGTCCGTCTTTGCCGTCATCGTAAGCCCCAAAGAAGCAGCACAGCTGGTCTGTCGCATCCAGCGCTTGCGCGGGCGTCGGTATATCGGGTTCGCTAACATTAGGCTCCGGAGTGTCAACACATTCATCACTGTAATCAAGCACGCCCGTAACTGCAGGCACAATTTCGGCATCTTACAATTCTTGTGTTGTCACCGCATCAGCATCGGCACCGACGTACATGCGGGAAGCGTCGCAGGCAGGCACAACGTCGGTTTCAAGGAGGGCGTCCCAAAACTTCTGGTCCTGGTCGCCCACGGCACCCACTGGCAGCATCGCCGAAATCTTTGGCCACTTTTTGTTTTCTTGATGCCAGACTCAACGGCTTTCAACATTGCTAACTTCTGCTCCACTTCATTTGTTATATTTTGGCGCTTACGTTTGCTGCTGCCGTTGTGTCTAGCAGCAGAAACTTATAGAGGTGGTGCGCTCTTCCACTGAGAACGACAAAGAAGAAAACCACGCCATCCCGGGGTTGGTAGTGATCAGATGAAGAATAAGACGCTTATTTTTGCGGCCCTTGAGGGAGCACGGCGCGCGAAGCCCCGGCGCAAAGCTGAACGGGCGAAGGAGGTCAGATGCGCGGCTGGGTCAACGAGTTCTACAGGAGAGGGGAGGCCGGCTGACACGCACGCTCCTGCGAGTTGCAGCACGGGCGAGTCCATTAGTTCCCGAGGAAAGGGGAGGCAGGGAGACTCGCTCAGTGCACAAGCGTGTTGGCAGGCGGCTTCCAGGGGGCACTAGGCGCGAGTTTTAAATTACCGCAGCCGTGATGAGACGTAAACCTTCGCACGCTATAAAATATTGGATTGACATATACCAATATCATCAGTAAATGCTCATTGCAGACAAAGAAAGGTTAATTGTATTTATTGTAAGGAAGTTTTCGCTTCGTTAAAACGAGGTTTTAGATACATGGGCCTCAATGGGAATTTCAAAGGGAATTACAATTGCTTTGTTGTATCCATTAGTTCGTTATATCCCACTTCATTATTACAGGGTTTTACTGTATCTGGCTCTCTCAAAGAAGATGTACTTCATTTTTGCTTATGAGAAGCGACATATTGCCACCTACTTCTAGTATTGGGTCGTATGCCAAGGTGAAGGCTCACACCATAGAGAAGAAAGAAGTGCGCATGGGCCCCCGCTCTGGCAAACAAGCCCAACCGACGCGCTTGGTTAGAGCCCTGTTGCTCAGACGTCAATAAACCTTGTCGACACCCCCTGGAGCGACGTGACAATTGGTGGAGGTGCTGGGTATACTGAAAAGCCGCGCAGCCCGAGGCGCCGGTATGGACACTGGCGGTACAAATGGTCCACTTCACCGCAGTGGAAGCACAAAGGTCGGCGATCAGGAGTGCGCTGAACATCAGATTTCCGCGGCGAAGCACGTCTGTCGTCAAGGTAGTGTGCTGGTTGTTCCACAAGATGCACAGGGCTGGCGTAAACGAGGGGTGGGGGCTTGCGTGTGTTCTCGTAGTACCGTAGAGGCTGCGCCGACTGAGGTGAAACCGTAGGAGGTGCCTGAACAAACATTGGGAAAGAGGAAGCTGGGCGCTTCAAGCCTTCTGCATAGGTCGCGCGGTGGTAGTCAGCCGGGGCGGGTGTGGCGTTATCCAGGCTCACAGGGTCACGAAGGGCATGATGCAACTCGTCCTTGACGATGCTTGCAATGGAACTCACCGTAGGTAGTGGTGGTGTGGCAGTCTTTTGCAGCTCCTCGCGTACTATAGAGCGGATAAGGTCGCGCAGATACTCGGTGTTGCTCCCGAAAGTCGCGAGAACTTGAGCAGTGGACGTGTTCACGTGCGGCTCATCTGACTTGAGCAGACGCCAGCGAGAGGATGAAGAGATTCGACCGCTCATCGACTATCTGGAGGGTAATAGCGCCGTTATACCTCGCCATCTATCTCGCGTCGTGACGTCTTTCTGCCTCCGAGATAATGTCCTGTACAAAAAAAACGCCCGTTCTACGAGCCGCGCTTACCTCCTCGTCATTCCGAAGGACATGCGGGACGAAGTCCTCTTTGCGTGTCATGACGAGCCCACATTTATTATTTATTTATTTATTTATTATTTATTTATTTATTTATTTATTTATTTATTTATTTATTTATTTATTTATTTATTTATTGTACCCTCAGGGCTTAACAGCATTGAAGAGGGGAGCGGGCACTGATGAACAATGTTAAAGAAAAGAATACATAGACAAGACACTAGAACATTATTAAACACTGGAAAACAACTATTATCAACTGCAACTATGTTACACAGCCAGTAGATTTTACAAGAAAACTAACAACAAAATCAGACGTTTACATTTCCAACTCCAAGTATGTTATCGA